CTCCCCCCCCCCCCCCCTCCCCTTTCTCGCACGCGCGCACGCACGCACGCACACCGTGCCTCGGCCGCCCGCGCAGCCCTACGCGCGCGCCTTCTTCAAGAAGCACGGCTTCGTCTACCGCGAGTCGAACCTCGTCGAGTGCGTCAAGTACAACATCGCCGCCCTCGACATCCGCACGCGCAACGGCGAGTGGGCAGAGATGCCGCACTAGCCGGCGGGCTCCGCCTCTCCAGGCCGGACGTGACCGCGCCGCGGGCGACAGCGACCGCGCGGGCCGCACGGGCCACCTGTTGAGGGGAGCGGCGTCGCAACAGGCAGAGAGATAATAATAGAGAGGCATGTGTGCTGGGACGCTTTGGCTATATCGGTATATGGACAGGCAGGTAGCGCGCGATGCTTTTTAGATTTCTCTCTCTCTGAGAGTGTGCGGGCGCATTATTCGGGCGTGCAGCTATGGTTCTATGTGCGGAGATATGCGCGCACGCTCTTCTCAACCGGCCTCCCTGGCGTCTGGGGGGGCGACCCCCCCATCTTTGTTTACCGAATGCGTCTCTGGATTAGAGTGCGTCTAGTAGGTGTCCTACTTAGACGCTCGCTGTCCTCGGTATGCTCGAGCATCCTAAGATGCGCGAGTCCATATTAGTTGCTCCGCGCATCCCGAATTGCTGACGGCATCTCCGATTGGCGTTGCTGTCTCAAAAGACGCGCCGTGCATACTTACTGTGAACAGCGCGTGTCTCAGAAGACGCGCGCATATTTTGAAGCGTGTGGATCTCCATCAGTCTAACCCAATTGCGAATTGCCCCCTGGCGGGCATTTCGCCTTTCGTTCGGGGTCGGCCGTCGGGGGTTGCATGGCCGTCCTGGCGTTGCTGGCGCTGCTGCCCCTCGTCTTGCATCTCGTCTCGGACTGGACACCAACGCGGTATGGGTGGACGCTGGACAGATGATGACGGCACGCACGAGCGACAGTGAGTAGATCTAACCCCCGGTGAAGCATCCGACACAACACAAGTAATTATACCACCCACTTCCACTATACTCCATCAACAGCTCAGCGCTGATCGCGCTGCACCTATGACTCCACCAGTGTGAAGGTGAAGAGATCCCACCGAGCGTGCGGGCAGCTGGCGGGCGGGAGGGGCAGCAGGAGCAGCATCATTGTCATCATCAGCAGCAGAGGAGCAGTGCCGCCGCGTCGCCGCCGCCGTCCGCGCGCCGCCGCCACCGTCCGCGCGCCGCCGCCAGCCCGTGTGCTGCTGCAGCCGCCTCCGCCGCCGCCGCCCGTCTCCGCAGTGCCCTCGCGCCCGCGGACAAAACCAGTCATATATCCACGAGCCGGTTTTGCAGAGCGTACAAGACCTGCATGACTCCGTGGCACGATCGGCCGGCGTTCGAGCCGGCGCTCTTATGCTGCCGGTTCGAATCCCGGTGGTCGTGTCCTCGCGGAGCGACGCGGATCGCGCGCGTGTGCGCCTGCGACAAGACGAGAAGCAGAAGCGAACGTCAATGTTTTTGCTGCCGCGGCCGCGCCGCGACCTCCCGTTTGTTTTGGCGCCGATGCAGCGCCGTCTCACGCCGCGCGAGAACCGAGATGGCGCCGCCGCGGAGTTTTGTTTCCGCCGCGGCGTCGGCGCCGCGATCAACCGCGCTCCAGCAGCGAGCGTTGCAGAGCGGCTACCGACATGACAGTTGGCGACGGCGTCTATCAGTGAGTAACCCTCATGTTTCAAGCATCCGACACGTCGCGGAGCCCGGAGCGGGGGCAAGCATCCGCACACTACACGGTACCCAACCCAAAAATCGTGCACGTCGATGGCGAAGGCCAAGAAGCCGGCTCGCGCCGCCCCGCCCGCTGCGGAGGGCAAGGCGCCCGCGGCGGCCGCCTCCTCGGCCGAGCCCTCCGCCTACCCGGCCGTGCTTCGCCGCTCGACGCACACGCGCAAGAAGGTGCTCGTCCTCTGCTCTCGCGGCGTGACCACCACCTTCATCGAGCTGATGGAGGACGTGCTCAAGCTGCTGCCGCACGCCAAGAAGGACCCCAAGTTCGACAAGCGCGAAGCGCTCTCCTCCATCAACGAGATTGCCGACCTTGGCGGCTGCCGCTTTGCCGTCTACTTTGAGGCGCGCAAGATGCGCGACCTGTTCCTGTGGGCGGCGGCCGTGGGCGGCGAGGGGCCTTCGGTGAAGTTCCTCGTCCAGCAGGTCAAGCCGAGCTCCGACCTCCGTCTGACGGGCAACTGCTTGCTCGGCTCGCGGCCGGTCGTGTCGTTTGACCCGTCCTTTGCCGGCTCGGCGCACGGCGCACTGCTCAAGGAGCTGCTAGGGCAGATCTTCTCGACGCCAAAGGGGCACCCTCGCTCGAAGCCCTTCCACGACCACGTGCTCCACTTCTCCCTCCTCGGCGGCAAGATTGTCGTCCGCCACTACCAGGTGGTGCTGCCGCCGCCGCCACAACACGCACACACACGCACGCACGCTCGCACACACGCACGCACACACGCACACACGCACGCACGCTCGCACACACGCACACACAAATACGCACTGCTCACCCACCTGCACCGGGGCCGCTCGCATTTGGAATGCCGGGGCTGCTGAGCAGGCGGAGACACGCAAGGGCGGCCCGGTCCCCTGACACGCGGCGGAAGTCTACCTGCTCCGACCCCTCACCAGGTCCTGCCGCCGCTCGACGCCGCCAAGGGAAGCGAGGACTCGCTGGTCGAGATCGGGCCGCGCTTCTCGCTGCTGCCGGTCAAGATCTTCGGCCGCTCCTCCGGCGGTGAAGCACGCTCCGCGAGGCTGCGCGAGATGACCCGAGATTGCCCGAGATTGTAGGGGGCTCGTTTGGCGGCGAGACGCTCTACGCCAACGAGAAGTACGTCTCCCCCAATGAGGCGCGCTCCGCGCTCAAGCGCAAGGCTCGCCGCGCCGTCTAGATGTCTTTAATACGGCTTGTGCTGACCCAGCGGACTCGAGACGAGACGCGTTTGCGGGAGATTTTAGCACTTGTGCGCTCACACACACACCACACGACCACGCTGGCCGCACCGAGACAAGTGCGCAGACGGCCGGCACGCACGGCCAGTCGACAGTGGACAGAGAGAGGGAGATCGACAGCCACAGACAGGCAACGCCGGGTCCCAAGGAAGGCCACGCGACAGCCGCGCCTGACTTGCCCGTTCCTGCTGCAGGCGTCTCGGGCGACGCGCGGCGTCGTCGCGCAAAAAGAGAAGCGGCGCGCGCGCATCAACGAGGAGGGGGGGGCCAATCTGCCGCAGGACGAGTTGCACGACGCGTTTGACTAGCCTCGGTAGACTGCCTCGGGCGATCTTCGCGGGAGGATCTCGCCGAGCCGTGATGGCGTGGCGACGGGCGTCGTCCAGCCGCCCCTAGGGCCCCCTACAGTGCGAGGCGTGGCGATAGAAATCGGGTCCTCGGCATCCAGCAGCCGATTTCTGTTTCGGCGAGGGAAATCGGGCAACCAGCAGCCGCTTTCTATATACTATAAGCGATTTCTGCCAAAATTTTCTTCGGCGCTGCGCGCCGCCGTTCTCCGTTCACTACATGAGAGGATCTGAAGCCGATGCGGTATAAGCGGTTGGCCGTGACGGGGGGAAAAAGACTTTCGTCTCTCTCCCACCTGGGCGGGGCGGGGGCCGGGGGGGCGGCGGGCGCGGGGTGCGGGGTGCGGTGCGGTGCGTGCAGTCGTGTGTTTGGCGTCCTGTTGTGTGTGCCTTCGCTTGTTATTAACATCGAAGTCTAGCTCAAAAAAGAATTCGCGGCGCCTCCCGGCGCCGGCGCCTGGCCGTGCTGGGGCAAGAAGGACAAGCTCGACACGTTAGAGGTTGGAACAACATGGAGGACGCTCTCTCGGCTCTCGACCAAGTGCTCGCCTCGGCTAGTCCCTTGGACACGGATCTGCTGGCCACCATCGTGCGCGTGGCCTGCATCTGCATTGACGAGCGCTCACCGACTGAGAACTTGGCCCAAGGGCTCAAGTGGGTGCGTGTGGCGCTGAGCCTTGAGCCGCGTGACCCACATGCGCTGCTCCTCGAGGCTCGCGCACTCGATCGGCTCGACCAGCGGTTTGCGACCGCCAGCCCGCAGCGCCTCGGACTCGCCATTGCGCGGCTCAAGGAGGTGATCCGAAGCGGCGTCGAGCCGTACTGCGCCGAGGCTCGGGCGCTTCTGCATCAGGCCACGGCGTCCGAGCTGCTGCCATCGGACAGCTTGCGTGCTCGCCACCTACGGAGGCTCAAGGAGTTTGTGGCCAACGAGCAGGCGGCGGTACAGCGCAAGGGTGACTCGCCGATCAAGGAAATGAAGGGCATGACGCTCAAGGGGCTGGGGCTCAAGGGCGAGGACGGCGAGGTGAGCGTGCTCGAGGCACTTGCGAAGCTGCGTGCGGGCGAGGGCATCCCGCTCACTAAGCCCAAAGCGAAGAAGCTCGTCTCCTTCCTCCGCCTCGTCGACGACCGGCCCGAGCCGCCCTCGCGCGCCTTTCTCGACGAGTACGCCGCCTCCCGCCGCTCGCTCGGCTGCCTCTCGCTCGTCTCGTGGAACGCCAAGATGCTCAACGTGACCGACCAGCGGGACGAAGACTGGTTGGCGGCGGCGGCCGAGAAGGCGCGCAACATCGGCGCGCGCGCGTGTGCGCCGGACGTGCAGGCCGACCTGGTTTGCATCCAGGAGGCGCCTGGCCCGCAGCTCGCGGCACGAGGCGGTGCGGGGGCGAGGGAGGCGGTGTCCAAGGCGGTGCTTCCCAACACGCTGCGCGCTTGCATGCAGGAGTGCGCCGGCGCGGCGGCGGGGCCAGCGCGGCAGTACCACTGCGTGTGCGTCGACGTGCACTGCCTTGTGCGCGACCCGATGCACCCCGCCGGTGTTGACGAGGGCGAGCAGCACGTGTTCTGCTACGACGCCCACGCGCTGCGGCTTGTGAGCCCGCCCTACAAGCTTCTAGGAACCTTCTAGGAACCTTCTAGGAACCTTCTAGGAACCTTCTAGGAACCGTCTCCTAGGTGCGCCCGCCCTACGAGCTGCCGCCCAGCGCGGCCGACCGCGCCGCCGGCTCCGGCTTCCACCGCGCTCCCGCGCTCTGCGAGTTCGAGGTGCGCAAGCCAGAGAGCAGCTTGTGCGGCGCGCGGCTCCTCGTCGCCACGGTCCACCTCAAGTCGGGCGGCGAGGAGCCGACCGTCGCCGAGGTCGCGGCGCTGGCGCGTGCGCTGCGCGACCATGTCGACGCCACCGTGTTCCGAGGCGTCGAGGACCCACCGCTTGCGGCGGAGGGCGGCGAGGCAACGGAGGGCGGCGAGGCGGCGGAGGGCGGCGAGGCGGCGGAGGGCGGCGAGGCGGCGGAGGGCGGCGAGGCGGAGGGGGGGGGCGCGGGCGCCGACGGACGCAGCGTGCTGTGTGTGCTCGGCGACTTTAACCTCTCCACGGAGAGGGTGGCGGCGGTGCTGCGCGAGAACGGCTTCGCGATGCGGCCCTGCTTCGACGAGGACGCGCCGACCAACCTGTGGCGCTTCGTCGGCCGCGGGGCCATCTCCGAGGGCAAGCAGTACGACTCGGCACATTGGTGGGAGCACCCGCCTCGCAAGAAAGCCGCGTACGACGGCGTGCGCGATGCGGGCGGGCATTGCGCGGGGGCGAGGCGCGGTATGCATGCAACGGGGCAGGTGCTGGCAGTGGCAGAGGTGGACGCCGCCTACGAAGAGATGCAGCGCGTGGCTGCCGCGATCGACTCGACCTCGCGTGTCGCGGCACGTGCTCTCGGCGGGCTGGGAGCCGCCGATGCGACGCGCGTCGAGAGGAAACCCGAGACGGACTCCCAGCCAGCCGACGGTGTGCCGGGCTGGCTCCGTCAGCAGTATCGCAAGGCGCTGGCGAAAGTGTGGAGCGACCACATGCCGATCGCGGTCAGATTTGTCTAACGGTGTGAAAAGCACCGCAACCTCTCCGATTATAGTGGATAGAGTGTAGAGGCTTAATACCTGCGCGATAGTGGATAGAGGCGGATCGAAGATTTTCATTTACATTTTTTCTTCTTCTCGGTGAAAAACATCGCGGAGAGTGAAGCAGAAAACCAGAAGGGTCCCCATCTCCATGCCGCGTCGCCCGTCGGGGACGGAAGTGGGGCCGTCTGCGGTCTGGCAGGGCCCCGCCACATAGCCCACACGCCACACACCACACACAGACAGAGAGACACACGCGCGCCCCGCGCGTAAAGCCGAGAAGGCCGTAGCTCGCCGGCCGACGTCCATAAAAGTGTCTTCGTCCTCCACTGAAAATAATTTCACAACAGCACTCCCTCTCACTACACTAAGCCCCCTAATGGTGGCACGAACGATAAATAATACGAAATAGCACGATACCTGACCCGCATAGTCGCCGAAAGCCGGGAGCAGCCACTTCAAGACTTCAGAAAAAGAGTGAGAAGGTTGCTTCCCCCAGGATTAGTCTTCTCTGCTCTGCGGGAACACACTCGGGTATCTCGGGCGGCCGGGTGGGGCTGCGGCTGGAGCTAGCGTGGCTCGATAGAGCCGAGACCCCGTGTTGAGGTGGGGCGCTCCTTTGGGCGGCTGTTGAATCAGCAGATTCGACCTCACCTCACCAGTACTCTCATCCCAGTGGATGGACGTCCGTGTACCGTACGTCCCTTTGTGTTCCTCTCCCCGTCCGCCAGCGAGACGCTCAGTCGCTGGCGGCCGCAGTTTTTCTGTGAGGAGGAGGCTGCGCTGCACAAGCACGGGCGGGAGGGGCTTCTCCTGCGGAGTCGTGCGTGCGCAGGGCTCCGTTTTGCTTTCTTCTACTCCCTACTATATCATCTCGTAGGTTCCCGTCCTACCAGAGAAGAGAATACACAGGACAACCGGCACAAGCCGCCCTCTCCTCCCACGACAGGCAGTGGTGTGCACAATTTGTGCACACCAACAGCCCCAGACGACGCGAAAGCACTGCGGCGCTGCTAGCCAAAGGCCGCACACTCACGCTGCGCACGATACATTGGCTCGAGGACCACTTTTCTAGACGGATTGTCTTCTCTCATTCGCATTATGCCTGGCGCTCCGCTTCAGCTGCCCCTTTGTGTCGTCGTCGCCGCCGGGCTGCGATTCGACAGGGCTGAGCGAGTGCAGGTGCCTGCACACCAGTTGGCCATCGGCGTATACATTACGCCGTTGCCCTCTGTACTGCGATTCGTTGAGGAACGCCCTCTCGCCGAGGAGACGCAGGCTGGGCCTTTGCTTGGGGTGGTTGGCCAGGAACGCAAAAACGGCTCGCTCCAACGCGCCGTTACCCGTGTGCATGATCACTGATCCCTCGCACTCGGACTTCGTAGGCGCCGGGCAAGCTTGCCCATCAAAGATAATGTCGAGGTAGTAGAGCCAAAGCGGGTGACGCGCGATGCTGCCCATGATGTGATTGCCCGAAGCCACAACGCGGTGGCTCGTCATGTTGAGGATGCTGCGGTACTCCACGTTTTGCCTCGGCCAATCTGCGCGGAGGAGCAGGGCCGTCGTGGGAGAACCGAGCAGGAGCGGGGCAAGCGGCCTGGTGCACAGAACATCGAGGTCGAGGTAGATACCACCGTGCACGTGCAGGATGAGCGTGCGTATTGCATCAAACTGCTTCAGCTTCGGTGCCAAGGCCCGGTAGAGTGGCATCCTTCCGGGCATCGCCTCGGCCATCAGCGCCTCGCAGTCGGAGTCGGTCCAAACGCGCACGGCCCATTCAGGCTGCAGCTCCTTCAGGCGCGCGACGCTGGTACGAGCTTCTCGCTCCTCCGTCTTGTGGCCACCAAATGTCAACTCCCGGGTCGGCCACAGCACGTGAAAGGTGCGTGGGAAAATGCCACGGCACGGCGTGGCGGCGGTGCAAGCGTGCTCGGCCCAGCGGAACGGAAGTTCCATATTTCTCGGGCCCACCCATGTTCTTGTCTATGCCGTTACCTTGTTTTGAAACAGAGAATTTGAAACAGAGAATGAAACAGAGAAGATGGGGAGCTATAGCCACACAGCACTACGAGCAGGGTAACGGGGCTCGGGGCGAGCCCTCGAGCTCGTAGGCCCGACCTCGTAGGACCTACGAGCGAGCTCGAGGGCTCGTTCGTACCGAGCCCCGTTACCCTGCTCGTGGTTTTGCTGTGCACTTTCTCCATTCTATTTTGGAAGCATCGGGGACACTCTGCGTATTCACTGCAAATCCATCATATAGTACTTCTCCATGTACACCATTGATTGGTAATCCCTGTCGAATTCCTGAACTTGGTCCCGAAATGAACACTTTCTTTCCTGCTGGTCTTTTTTTGTGTGAGATTTGCAATAATGGATCATCTCTACACAAAGTAAGCCCACGGGCATCTCATTGATTTCAAAAAACTGATACAGCGTACTCACTCCTCAGTGCACAGTGGACAGTGCTCGTCAGAGGTGACGGCTCAGTCGACTCGCATCGGTTGCCTCCCCATGAGACCACTGCGGAGCTATTCTCGCGTCCACCACCACACCTGGCTCCAACGTGGACACACACGCCCATAGCTGGGGACACTGGTCACTAATAAACGTAGCGCCTCACGCCTCCCTCCCCACCCTCTCAGGCATTATCTCCCCCCCCTGCTGCTCGCCGACTCCTCCTCCCCCCGCGCATGACCGACGACTACCCGTCCTTCGGCGACTCCTCCCTCTTCGGCTCCAACGTCTACTACCGGGGGACCGTCGCCCTCGGGCGTACTGGCTTGATCCCAGCGGCACACGTCTACGAGGGGGGGCTCCGAAAGATCGGCATGCCTGGCATGTCGGGCGACTAGGCAGGTCATTGACCTCCCCCCCGCTTGTCCACCCGGCGTGGGGGGCGGGAGCGCAGCCATTCCAACGGCTGGGAAAGTTTCTGAACGGCCGTGCATGCGCCTGCATGCCGGCTTAATAAGAAGGTCCCTCGCTCCCGCCCCTCTCCCGGAAGACGCGCGCCGGCCTGGGGGACTCGCTTGCTATCCCGTTCCCGCCAGAGGCCGCGTGAGGCGTGTGGGACGGTGCACGCTGGGGCTCGGCCCCAAGTGCGCTGGCCTCGCGTCTCGAGGGGAGGGCGGCTCGTAACTGAGGTCCGCCTGCGGAGACAGTCGTCCTCCCCTCCCTCCGACGTCCTCTACAAGGGGGGGACTCCGAACGGCCGAGCATGCCCTCGCATGCCGGACAACTAGGTACAAGGTAGGTCATAGACCTCCCCCCCTCTCCGAGGGCAGAGGCTGCCGCCTCTCGGATACTCGGCCATTCCAACGGCCAGGCCGCTCGCTTAAGGCTGATTGGCTAGACGAGCGGCCTACCTCCACGGGGCTGTTGGCGCACAGGGGGAGGTGTCAATCACGCTCCCGGGATGCCGGAGAGATCGGGTTGGTCTCCCCCGCCTTCAGCCCTGACCCGACGGGGACGCCACCACCCTCGCCCAGGGATCTACAATGCTGTCTTAAGGTCCGACAGGTTCGGCACCGGGCACCGCCTCGGTATACAAAATGCGCCTGCGGGCGGACCCTCACAGATCACAGATCACTAAACGTCCACCGTGGCTCGCGCCGCTCGGGCGCATCCGTCTGGCGCGGACGGAGCTCGAGAGGAGGTGTCGAGCGCGCGCGCCTGCAGTGACTGTGCAGAACCAAGTGCAGAACCCCGCGCCGTGCCCGTGGGCGTGGCAGAAGCGCGGCTCCAGTCCTCTCCAGACGCTGGCTCGTGGCTGTCTTCAGCTTATCCCAAGGCGTACAGAGGTACAGTACAACCCCTTGGAGTGTGAAGATCCGCAGGACTGGAGCGAAAAAAAGCAAGCGAGCGCGTACAGTACAAGCATCTCACAAAAGACATACGGCGCGACCCAATCAGAAGAGTCTGAGTCAACGTCACTCTCAGCTAGCTGGGTTCAGCAGCCTCGCTATGCGGTTCTGCCCGCTCATCTCGTCCCCCGTTTCCTGGGCGAGCTCGTTGAACAGCTCGTCGTACGACATGTTGAAGGCGCGGCAGGACGTCGGCGCGTTGACGGGCCAGTGTAGCGCCTTGAGCCGCCCAAACGTGTGGCGCACCTCGAAGCCGAAATCGCGCTGTGCTTGCTCCGCGTACAGCTCCTGCTCCTTGGCAAATCCGGTCAGCCAGACCAGCAGGCGGTTCACGTTGATGATGCGCTGCGTGGCCTGTGGAGAGGTCCGGGAAAGGTCGGGGGAGGGCGACGGGAGGGGTCGCGTGGACGCTGCGTCGCGTCGCCGGGATCTTGTGGCAGCGCAGCTTGATGGTCGGGCTCGACGGCGTCGCGGAACAGAACGGCACCTGCGCCAAGGCAAGGGGGGGGGAGGGAGGGGGGTCAGCTTCCCAACTCGATGGCGGCTGAGCGCCGGGCACAGGCGCCTTTGCGAGCACCGACGCCTCGTTCTCGCTGTCTCGCACCAGCCCGTCGGAGACCTATGAGAGACAGCTCCGAGAAAGCTCGAGGGACGCGCCCGCCGCAGGTCGCGCTCCAGCCCGTCATGGACCATGTTGACCCACTCTAGGAAGTGTCTAGAAAGTGTCTAGAAAGTGTCAAGGGAGTGTCTAGGAAGTGTCTAGGAAGTGTCTAGGAAGTGTCTAGGAAGTGTCCAGGAAGTCATAGACCATGTTGACCCACTCTAGGAAGTGTCTAGGAGGTGTCTAGGAAGTCATAGACCATGTTGACCCACAGGTGCTGCGCGTGCGCGTCGACGAACGCCTGCTCGCGGCTCGCGGCGCGTGAAGAGTCGACGCTCGAGAGTCGCAGCCCGCGGCGTCGCTGGGAGGTGTGTGTGTGGCGGGGAGGTGTGTGGCGCTAGGAGTTGTTTGTGGCGGGAGGTGTGTGTGGCTCGCCGCCGCTCCTCCTCCTGCCGGTCCTGCAGAAGCGGCTGCCCGACGGTGCGGCAAGCAGTGGGGAGGCGTGCGGGGCGGGGAACACCGAAGAGGCTGGGAGGGTGTGTGTGTGCTGCTCACCACGATGGCGGGGTAGGTGTATGGGTACTCTCTCCGGTTCTCGGGGATGCCGCCCGGGCTGAACGAGAAGACGTCGACGATGTCGCCCGCTTCAACGGCGGGCGGCGGCGGCGCAAGTGGCGGCGAAGGCTGCCGCGCCTTGCGCAGCAGCTCGCACCATGAGCGGCGGAAGTAGCGCAGCGTGACGGCGACGCGTGCGACGGGGACGGTGTAGCCAGCCTTCTTCTGCTGGTCCATCATCACGAGGCCGTCCAGCGGTGGGACGCTGTCGCTCACGAGCACGTCGTGCTTCACCTTCCACCTGGTTCGAGGGCCATGGTTGGGAGCCGGTCCAGTGTGTGAGGGTTGAGGGGCCGTGTGTGCTTGCCGGCTGCACCTCGACTGCCCGTACAGGCAGTACGCCATGGCGGCCTTGATGGTCCTCCGCCGGAGGATCGGCACAACCGTTGAGCTGCCGATGGTGCTCTTCGCCTCTTTCGTCAGAACCACCTCCGCCTGCCCGGCGATGCCGACGGTGATGATCACGTCGCCGTACGCGGGTTTGTCGGAGTGCGCGCCGACGCCCGCCTCCCTCTTGCTCGTGTTGACCGGCATCAGCGTCAGCTGCGCGTAGCCCAGCACAAAGTCGCCCGTCTCGCGATCACCAAGCAGCGGCAGCGGTTGCTCGCCCGGCTCGATCAGCTTCTTGCGCAGCTGCGCGTCGAGGTCTCGGATCGGCTCCGGCACGTCCGGCCATTTGGTCGGGTCGTTGTGCTGCGTGCCGCCAAGGCCGCGATGCCAGTGGTCGGCGATCACCTCGGAGAAGGGGCTGCTGCCGTCGCGCTCGAGGAAGTACTTGAGCTGGTTTGCAAACCAGGGGTCTGCGCTGCGCGAGAGCGCATCTTGGTTGTCGAGCAGCCACCGCTGCGCGGGGGCGACGTCGAGCTTGCTCGTGACAATGAAGCCGTCGGTGCCGTCGAACGTCTCCTTCTCCTCCATCGTCGTCGCGAAACCCCGCGTGTCAACCACGTGCAGCGTGCTCTCCTTGGCCAGCCTGTTGCCCTCCAGCGTATGGTGGTCCTCCAGGTTCTTGCCCGCAAAGATCAGCCGCTGGCAGCCGGCGGGGAGGTCTCGCCCGTTTATTGTTGCCTTCCACTCGACCAGCCGTTTCACAAAGTCGACCCTCGCGTCCAGCGGGCAATTGAGCGTAAACGAATCGCCGGACAGCAGCTTGGCAAAGACCTGGACCGCCTTGCCCAGCCCGGGAGGCGGCTTCGGCTCTGCAGGAGCGGCCGGCGCCGCTCGCTCGGCCGCCGCCATTGGCTGTTTGCCCAGACGGCGGGGAGACTCGGGGGGCGGTGCCTCCACGCCACCACCGCCGCCGCTGCTGCCGCTGCCGCCGCCGCTGCCGCTGCCGCCGCCGCCACCGCCGCCACCGCCGCCACCGCCACTGCCGCTGCCACCACTGCCGCCGCCGCCACTGCTGCTGGCGGCAGAAGCGGCAGCGCCGGTGGCCCCGCTTCTGCCGTCGGCCCCGCCTCTCGCGGCGTCAGGCGACCCGTAGCCGTCGTCTCCGCACGTCGCTTTTGGGACCATGTTCAGCATGCCCGCGCCGGCGGTGGAGCCCTTGCCGAGGGGGATGAGGGGTCCTGCAGGGGCGGGCCCCGCTGCGCCGCCTCCCGCCGCACCCCGCCGCCTCGCCTCCTCCTTCTGCTTCTCCTCGTCACGAAGCCGCTCCTGCTGCTGCAGCCGCATCTCCTCGGCCCGCTCCTCCGCCGCTGCCCGCTTCCTCTCCGCCCTCTCGGCCGCCGCCCTCTCGGCCGCCGCCCTCTCCGCAACCGCCCTCGCCGCTTCCCGCTTCTTCTCCGCCGCCCGCTCCGCCTCCGCCGTCTGCTGCTGCGCTGCCGCCGCCTCGGCCGCTGCCGCCGCCTCGGCCGCCGCCGCCTCCTCTGCCGCCGCCACCTCCTCTGCCGCCGCCTCCTCTGCCGCGGCCTGCTCCTCTGCCGCGGCCTGCTCCTCTGCCGCGGCCTGCTCGGTCTCTCCCGCGAGCTCTGCTGCCGCCGCAGCCGCCGCCGCCTCCTCTGCCACCGCCCCCACCCCCTCCTGCGCTGCGGTCTCCGCCCCCTCCGCCGCCCCCTCCGCCACCGCGTCCGCCGCCCCCTCCTCCGCCCCCTCCAGCCGCAGAAGGCTCCTGTCCTTTCCGTGCACCATCGCCTCCTGGTGTTCAATCACCAGCCGGCCCTCACCCGCCGCCGTGCCCTCCCCGTCGGAGACGACGATCTGGCCAACAAGAAGCCCCGCCAGGTGCGCTGCGCGGCTCATCCACGCCTGTGCAGCCGTCGTCCAGCTCGCGTCCCCCGGGAGAGTCTGTGGCGAGGGGAGGGAAAGACGGGGTGAGACAAAGAAGGGGAGGGGGAGCTGGGCGCTGTGCCAGGGATGCGGCCGTGCGGGGCGGGGGAGGTTGGGTGGGGGGAGGCGGGGCGGGGAGGGGGAAGGGGGAGGCGCGGTGCGCTGCCTGCAGCTGCCGCTCGGTGGCGGGTTTTGTGCGGAGCGGGTGGCTGCCCACGGTGGCCACGGCGAGCCTCAGCGCCTCCTCGAGCCTAGGGGCGTACTCGGGCACGTCACGGACACGTCGCGGACACGTCGCAAGCCACAGCTCCTCGCGGAACCTCATCTCCCTTTTTGCGCTCTCCTGCAGCTTGGCCACGAGCGCTGTGCGGACGTCGCCGGAAAAGGCCCAGTAGAGCTTTTCGTGCTCCTCTGGAATGGTGCCCCTCGGAACCACCTCGCTCCACATGCTCGCGGGGTGCACCCCCGCCGGCAACCTCGCCGGCAGCTCCAGCTTTGTCGCCGCCGGCTCGACCGCCGCCGCGCCCGCGCCCGGCTTGGACGCCTTTTTTGCCGCCTTGGCTGGCTGGCGCGGCGTGCCATCGGCGGGACGAGGCGCCTCCGCGGCGGGGCGCTTGCCGCCCTTCTTCCTCGCAGCTGGTGCCGCCGCTGACGCCGCCACCGAAGCCGGCCGGCTGCCCGCAGCACCGCCGCCGCTGCTGCTGCTGCCGCCGCTGCTGCCGCCGCCGCTACTTCCGCCGCCGCTAGCACCAGCGCTGCTACCGCCGCCGCTAGCACAAGCGCTGCTACCGCCGCCGCCGCCGCCGCCGCCGCCGCCGCCGCCGCCGCTCTGCTGCTCCTGTACCCACTCGGCCACGAAATCGTCCGAGGACATTCCCAAAGCGGTGCAAATGTTTTGCGCGCGCTCCAGCGGGGAACCTGCTGGAGACGCAATGTTTCCCCACTCCGCTTCCTCGATGATCCTCGACGCGAGCGTGGCGCCGCAACGAAAAACTTGCTTGATCGCCAGGATGAGGCAGATGGCCGCTGCGCGCGATAGCATCTCACCCGGATTGAAATGGACGGGTTCCGGCAGCCCAAGGGCTTGCTCAGCGTTGCTGAGAAGTTGCCTCGGGCTGTCGCCGTCGCAGTCGAGGACCGCTTTGATGCTGGCGCACATGTCGCGAAGCAGCGCTGGCGCCATACGAGGCTCGTCGCGTTCGCGTCCTCGCTGAACCTGCAGGGCCGGGGGGGCGCCGAGAACACCCGGCGTGTATTCTTTTTTTGCTGGGGGCGGACAGCTTGCCGGGGAAGGTGGGACGAGGCGAGTCCAGTTAGGTAGTCCTCGCTGAAACCTGCCTACCTACCTAGGCAGCGTGCCCAATACTACGCCTCCGCCCCCTCCGTCGCCTCCCCTTCCGCCTCGGCTGCCCCCGCCTCCACACCTCGCCCTCGACACACACTCACCCAAGTCCCTCCCCGTTGATACAGTCGGTTGGCGTCGACGACCACAAGGTGTCGACACAAGGTGCCGCCCAACGAGACCGACCAGGTGCAGTCGATTGATCGCGGCATGGGGCGCCATCAAAGTCTACCTTGGGCAGCTGCTCGATGAGTGGCTCGACGACGAGGACAACCTCGAGAAGTGGGAGTCGAACACGCTGACGGCCTCGGACCGCCGCATCCTCCTCGCCCACTGGTTCTACAAGGCCTCCATGAAGGCGCTCCAGGGCGAGGCCAAGCGCAAGTACTTCGAGCACGCCGGCGCCCTGCTCACAGCCGACGGCACGGACGACGACCTGGAGGGCGCCCCCGCCGGCTACAAGGTGGTGATCCCGCAGCTTACTTAATATTTTATTTTCTCACGGAAACACGCTCGGCCCGGCTGACCTGAGTGCCGGCCGGGGCTAAGAAACCACGGCGCGGGCTGGGGGGGGAGGGTGGAAAGGCTTAGAAACGGCGGCGTGGCGCCGGATCCTGTTTTCTTAATGCGAAACAGACTGTAACGGACAAAACGGAGCCCTTGCCCTCCGGCTCGCCCCCAGCACGCTGCCCCGAGGCGCCGGAGCACACTCCCACGATGATGCAAAAGTGGGACGATCCCGACGACTCGCCGGAAGGAATTGCTCCGGAGGATGGCCCTTCGCGTTTCTGCCTCGGTCGGTCTTGTGCCGAGAGCCAGATCATTCTGGCCCGGATGCTGCTGATCGCGCCACTCCTCTACGCCGGGTGGTGCGCCTCGCCGACCCATCCTCTCCGCGGGCGGCGCGCCGGCCATTCCCACTCCTCTCCACTACGGCTCAGGTATCTCTTCGCGGCAGTGATCAGCGCGTCTTTTGAGGACCTGCCTCTATCGGGGACGGTACCGTTCAAGCACGAGCGGTTCGTGACGGGAGACGGCGCCTCTGAGGCAAACGCCCGTCTCGCCTTCGACTACCGCGTGGGCCGCGGATCGGGGCCAGACGAGTACCGTCCACTCACCGCCTGGCTCTCGATGGTTTTGACGAATGCGCTGCTCGCGCCGTGGCTCATATTTCTGTGTGCGCACGACTCGAGGCGCGCGGTAGACTACAGCAGCTCGCTGCAGAGCCTGCACGTGATCCTCGTCACCGGCATCATGGACGGACTCCCCGACAACTCCTGCTGGTGGCTTACGATGACGGGCTGCTGGCTGTGGCAGAGCCAGGTGGCGACACTCCTCCTCTCGAGGTGCGGTAGCGGCCGGTCTGGCTGCACGCGCCGGCTGGACTGGGGGCCGCGAGGCGCAGGGCCGTCGCTGCCGGTCGGAATCGCCACCGAGCACGTATCACGGCGCGTCTTCAACGCCAGCCTCGTGCCGTGACAAAGCTCAGAGTCCTTCCGAGTCGCCTTTCAGCAGCTTACTTGCCGGCATGGATTTTTTTTTCGTATTTGGGATTGTCTCCCCGCCGCGCAGTCTAGCTCGTCGCTCAGTCTCGCTTGCTTTGCCTCTGCGCGGCGCGACCCCGGCCCCGCGCCAACCTCCTACACCCGCAACAGCAGAGCAAGCCGGCCGCGAGAGCGCCGCCGGCGAGGGCGGCCACGGCTGCGCGCAGCTCCGCCGCGGCGTCAAAGATGGTCGGGAGGGCCTGCGCTGCGCGCCAGCGCTCCGCCTCTTGCCCGGCGGTCAGCCCGAGCGGCAGAGAGTGCTCGAGCGCCTTCGGCGGCAGTTGTGGCACGTCGGGCGGTCGGGCGGTCGGGTGGCGAACTTGGTACTCGCGCCCCGCGGGTGTCGTGTGCTCCGGAGGGAGGGAGGGAGGCAGGCAGACAGAGAGCTGAGAGAGCGGATAGATAGAGAGACAGAAAGACAGAGTTAGACACACCGCCAGAGAGAGAGACGGGCGGAGAGGCAGAGAAGCGAGGGCGGGGGCAGGCAGAGAGGAGGGAGGGAAGGCACCGTGCCGCCGTCGAGCGCGTGGTGGATACGGACGACGATGGCGCCGCAGCCCGTGGGTGACGAAGGAGGAGCCGACGGCTCGCAGCTAGCCTATCGCGAGAGATGGGGAGAGATGGGGAGAGATGGGGAGACAGATGGGGACGACGGACGGCGCTCGCAAATCGTCGCCGGGTCGGAGGGCCTACGGAGACACAGGGGTGTGTGAAGCCGGCTTGTGTTTCTTTTCTCTGTCTTGGGAGGGGTCGGGTGGCCAGCGCAGCTCGGCCGAGCCAAAGTTGAGGAAGGGGTACGCGCCTATGGCGAGACACGGAGAGAGATAGGGAGATATGGGGAGATATCCGAAGTTAGGACGGGCTACGCGCCCGCCGCCGGCCCGCCCAGTGCACGCAGCGCCTATTCACAGCGGAGGCTGTGAACAGCGTCTCTCCACAGCTCGGCCCGCCCAGTGCACTCGCAGCGCCGCCACGGCCGAGGGAGGCAGCGGCGGCAGCGGGCGGCGGGCGTCGTGCGGGGTGGGCAGCCTGCGGGAAGGTTCCGAGAAGGGTCCGCGAAGGGGCCCCGAAGCGAGGAGGGTCGGTGGCGAATGCTTCTCACCACTGCCGCTGCTGCCGCTGCTGCCGCTGCTGCCACTGCTGCTGCTGCTGCCGCTGCTGCCGCTGCTACTGCTGCCGCTGCTACTCACCACTACTCACTACTACTACTACTACTACTACAACTGACTACTGCTGCCACTCTCGTGAGGCAACACCGGTGCGAGGCGAAGAGGCGGTGCTGCAGGCCGCAGAGAGGGCCCCCGACGGCTCCGAGGCCGCAGGCATGCGTGAGGCCGGAGGAGGTCACCTGAGGGGGGGGGGGGTACTCGCACAGAGTGTGTCTGATTGCCAGTCTGGTTGACACTGCGCGCGCGCGCGCGTGTGTGTGTGTGTGTGTGTGCGTGTGTGTGTGTGTGTGTGTGTGTGTGCGTGCGTGTGTGTGTGTGTGTGTGTGTGTGTGTGGTCGCCCGGGATTCACACCAGGGAGGAGTAGGGGACGCTGCGGGTGTGAAGAGTGCCCACACACCCGTGCCAGGGACCCGGCGCATGTACAAGCTGATGGAGCATCGAGGAGGCACTCCCTCTCGCGGCCCGTGCATCAAGGGTCGCCATTCGAGTGCGAGGGAATCTCGGGTGATCTCGAGTGATCTCGGGTAGCATCGGGTGATCTCGGGTAGCCTCGGGCAATCTCGGGCAATCTCGGGCAATCTCGGGCAATCTCGGGCAATCTCGGGGGCCACCTCGAGCAGCTCTGCGCCGGGCGGGAGGGCGGCGCGAGGGGCGCCTGCCAACTCTGCGTAGTGCACGTCGCCAGAGAGGAGGAGTGCGCCCCGCGGCCGCGTCTCCTCGAGCAGCGAGAGCAGACGCCGCCGCTCGCGCGGGAAGTGCCCCCACGACTCGACCGCCGCCGCCGAGGTTAGCACCTGGGGAGGCTCTGGAGAGGCTCTGGGAGGACGGCTCTAGGAAGGCTGTAGGAGCGTCCGGCAAGGCTGTAGGGGGAGTGCTCTAGGCGTGCTCTAGGCGTGCTCCAGAAGAGCGTGAAGAGGGCTCAGGAAGGATCTAGGCAGGGCTCGGAAGGTTCTAGGAGGCCTCGCCTGGACCGACGAGCTGATGAGGTGCCGGAGATAGGGGGAGATATGGGGAGATATGGGGAGATCAGAGGCCTCGCCTGGACCGACGAGCTGATGAGGTGCTGGAGATATGGGGAGATATGGGGAGATATGGGGAGATCAGAGGCCTCGCCTGGACTGACGAGACGATGAGGTGCGCCGACGCGGTCGAGTTGGTGAGCTGGGTCCGGAGCCACGCCCACTGCTCCTCGTCCAGCACTTGCGCGGAGTGCGAGCTGCCTAGATCTCGGCCAATCTCGGGTCGTCTCGAGGGAGACCCTCGGACGAACTCGCCTAGCACCGGCGCGGGGGGAGAGCGGATGCCGACGCCCAGCAGGGCGCACGCGGAGCGAGTGACGCCCGCAAGGTAGCCCGCCTGTCGCGGACGTGTCGCGGACGTGTCGCGGACGTGTCGTGGGTGTGTCGTGTGGTGGACGTGTCGTGCCCGCCTTTGGCACGCGCGACCAGCCGCCAGGCGACGGGACCGCGTGGTCCGCTCGGCCGAAGCGCGTGTCGAGCATCACCACCTTGGTTAAGAATGAATGAGTCAGCACGAGCAGTGACTCCTGTGTGTCGAAGCATCACCACCTTGAGCTGCCGGGGCGGCTCGCCGAGCGTGCGGCTGCCGTAGAGGCCTCCTCTCTGGGTGCGCCGCGCCGAGTCAGCGGGCGCGCCGACAACCTCGTCGAGGAAGAGCTGCCGCGCGTCCTCCTTCAGCTCCCAGCCAACGCCGCCGTCGTTCAGCCCGTAGTCGTGATCGTCGTATACGCCGTCGACCGGCACGCCGCGCAGCGCCGGCTCGCCCGCCTGCGCGTACGCCTCACGCAGCTGCGCGGCAGATGTCACCGACCCTTTCGGGTACATGGCATCGCCCAGCCACAGCCACAGCGCCGGCGACTGCGCGGCGACGGCGTCCCACACAGGCTGAGGCTTGAGCTGCTTCCGGCAGGAGCCGAACGCCACGCGCAGTGGTGCGCCGACGTGCAGTAGAAGGGTCGGGCTGATGGCGGAGGCAAGGGTGAGGCAGGAGAGCATGACCGTGCCGGCGCCGTGCATGTGGCCGACGCGGGAGACGCGGAATTTCACATGTTATTTTTCGGTGTTCACACATGTACATGTGCATGTGCCTAGTTGTGTTTCTCTGCTCCCTCTGCTCGCCGCGCTCTCTCACCAAGCCAAAGCCGACGGCAGACTCTGCTGCGCTCGCAAACGCGCGAGCTCTCGCCGCCAAGCTCGCGGCGTCAAAAGTGGCTGCGGCTCAAACTGCACCCGCCGCTGCGCCTTCTGCACCCGCCGCTGCGCCTTCTGCACCCGCCGCTGCGCCTTCTGCACCCGCCGGCAGCGACGACGACGACGACGACAGGGATCTCAGCTCGTACGACCTTTCTGCGGGCGGCGGCGGCAGCCGCGATGGGAGCCCTTGCCACCCGGCTAAGCCTGCCGAGGCGCCGGCCGGGTGGCCCGAGGTGGGCGAGCGAGTGCGGGCGCGCTATTCGGCACACAGCGTCACCTTCCGGCCCGCGAGGGTGGTGGCGCTCGACGCTCGCGCCGGGACGGTCGCGCTGCGGTTCGAGGGCTGGGGCGACGTGGTGGACACGCCGCTCGGCCGTGTGGAGCCCCTCTCGGGTGGCGCCTTCGCAAGAGGCGCGCGCCCTCCACCTGCCAGCCCTCCGCCGGTTAGGGAGATGGCGACGGCCTTGGCGCCGCTCGCTCCTCTGGAGGAGCTTCAGGTTCGTCTGTTAGGGACCTTCTCACGTGACCTCTGACCCCGCGCAGGAGCATCCGAGCAGCTTCCCGGCCGCGAGAGCCCGACGTACGCCGACTACGGCGACGTCAGCGCCGAGGAGCGCACGTCACACCGCTCACTGGGGTTGCGCCAAGGGGCTCCTGGCTTTTAGACGTGGAGTCGCGAGCCCCCCCCCCCCCCCCCCCCCTGTGCCCCACCACCTTGTGTGTGCGGAGAAGTGTCTGGCCTGACCTTAGGAGCGCGCGCTGGTGGCGGAGCACCAGCAGCATCGCCACGAAGGTGGGCACCGCCCTCGTCCTCCGGGCGACATGCACATGCACATGCTACATGTCTGGGACGGGTCCCAGCCGTGACATGCACACGCACAATTCCGCTGTACTCCCTGTCCTCCTAGCCCTCGCCTTCACGCGGAGCTCTGGACACGCGGCAGGCGGCAGGAGGGCCGTACTCCCGGACTCTGGGCCGTACTCCCGTGGCGTAGGCGCGCAGCCAGAGGACCGCGGCCGGGCCCTCCTCAAGGGGATGGGGTGGGTGCCGGGCACTGCCCTCGGCGCGAGAGGCGCGGCGGCGGGCGAGCGCGCGGAGCGGCCGGTGGCGGAGACGTTGCCGATGCAGACCGACCGCCGAGGGCTGGGCGCGGGCGGCGGCTCGGGCACAAAGCGGCGGCGCGAGGGCGTGAGGTGAGGAGACGACCGACGAGAATCCCGACAACGAACGCGGGCTTGTGCTGCATATAATTTGACATATGTTTTGTTTCCCGGTCGCTCCGAAACAGAAAATTTGGTGGCCTCCTCCGATCGTCCGATGGGCCGGCTCCTGCGCCATTTGCTCTGTGGCATTGCCCCTCTTGCCCGGGTGGCCTCCCAGCGGGTGGGAGTGCTTGCCTTTTACGTACTGCGGTAAATGAGTGGTATTTACCACTTATTTGATTGATGTAACTCGCGCATACACATTATTTAGTTCCTAACCCCCTAACCCTAACCCTAAATAATGTTAGTATCTCAATCTCTCGTAACCCTAACCCGTAACCCTAACCCTAACCCTAGCCCTAACCCTAACCCCGCGGGGTGAGGCTAGGACGTGGTCGTCTGTCTCGTCCGTCTCACCTCCCTCATGGCTTGCGTGTATAGCCGATCGCTAGCCCGGAGCACCGACTCGAAGCCGTGGCGGTCAAAGAGCGCAAACGCGTCCTGCTTGGTCTCGCTCCTCCTCTTGCTCTTTAGGCCGCCGTGGCTCGACACGCTGCTCTCGGAGTCCTGGGGGCCAAAGCCGCTACCGCGGGCCGCCTGCGCTATCGCGTCAGTCAGCTCCGTCTCGAGCAGCTCCACGAGGTCGCCAAAGAGCTCCGTCGGGAAGATGGCCGCCTTGTGCGTCTGCAGCTGCTCCCACAGCGCGCCGTCCGAATCCGCAGGACGGGCCGCCCGCCCTGTCGCACTGAGCCGGGAGACGAACGCGAGGCCATACAGGCCAAGGACGACGTCGACGAGCAGGTCTTTGTCTTCGAGGTTCGTGAACTCGCCGCAGAAAACCATGATGCTCGTCTCGATCCAGGAGGAGACGTCCGAGACGCTCTGCAGCTGGCCGTCGCCGCCACTGCCGGCGTCGCCGCCCGACCCGCGGGACGCCGGGCAATAGTAGATAGACTCGGTGCCGTTGGCGAGCATGAAGGCCCACTGCTCGAGACGGCACCAGCCGCGGCTCAGGTAGGTGTCGCGGCTGCAGAGGAGGCCCGTGTCGACGTGCGGCGTCTCGGGCGCGCAGGCCACAAAGTGGCTGGTGCACGCCGCGAAGAGGGCGATCGAGCGGACGGCCAGCGCCTTGGTCGCCTCATTGCACTGCGGAATGGAGTGGTAGTCAACCCAGACATGGCAGTCCTCTGCTGAAAAGCCCCGCTCGGCGGCGAGCGCGTTCACCGCCCGAAGCATTTGGACGTAGTGCGCGTTCTGCGGGTCGGGCGCGCAGTAGGAGAGCCACTGGTGCGAGAGAAAGATGATCGGGCGGGTGGAGGCAAAGCTCGCCGCCTCGTCCCACGTGTCGCAGCAGACGAGCACCTTCTGGTCGCGCGCCTCCTCGAACGGGACCAGCTTGCCAAAGCGAGCAAAGGACTTGAACGGCATGACGCAGAGAGGGTACTTCAGCGTCGACGCGTTGTGGATCGCCTCGCGCACGCGCTGCCTCTGCTCGTCGCGCTCGCGGAGGGCGGCGGCGACCGCCAGCTTCCTGTTGCGGGACGACTGCTGCGCGAACCGGCAAACGCCGACCGCGAGGAGCAGCCCGACGGAGCAGGCGACGCAGAGCAGAAGCAGAAGAGTTGTCTGAGGGACGCACGTCGAGCCGCGGAGCTCGAACCCGACGGCGCACCCGCAGCTGCGCCCCTCCGTGTCGATCAGCCCGCCGGGGCACACGGCGCTAATGGCGAGGGAGGCACACCCCAGCGGTGCGTCTCTGCCCGCACCGGACGGGCCGCAGCCGCAGAGCTCGTCGTCGAGGTACAGGCGGAGGGTGAACTCGCCGGTCTCGTAGGCCAGCAGGTGCGCGCTGTACTTCCCCCCCTCCTTGTACTCAAAGAAGACGTCGCGCCCCTCGCCGCTCTCGCGACTGGTCAAGACGACGCGAAAGCGGCGCGCCGAGTGCTCCATGGACTCCCTGGTCCGGAGGGACGGCACCGAGTGCGCCACCTCGAGCGCCTCAAAGTCGCAGCTGGTGAACTCGACCTCCCTCATCTGCCCGACGGTGACCGCCAGCGGGCTTCGCTCCGCCTCGCGCCGCGGGACGCAGCGACCGTCCCGCCCGGGCAGGCCCCACATCGACGTCGCAGCCGTCGCGGTGGTGGCGATGATGGTGTAGATGGGGAGCAGGACCGTCTCCCGCACGCCGCCCACCTCGACGGTCACGTTGAGCGTCGCAAGCAGCGGCTCGAGCTCCTCCCGCATGCCGGCCGAGCCGACGCTGACGGTGAGAAAGTGTGCTCGCCGCTCCTCCACGGTCGAGAGGACGCCGCTCGTCGGCGAGACCTGCAGCCACCTCGGCACGGACGCCGAGCTGACACGCCATTTCAGCGCCGCCTCCTGCGTGCCGCCGACGTGCAGCAGCAGCGAGCGCGAGGTGTTCTCGTTGCGGGACGTCTTGGTGAGCTCGAGGACGATGTTGGGCACGCTCGAGGGGGAGGGGGTAAAGTCGGGCGACTCTGCAGCCGACTTGTCGTCGAGCACCGAGATCGTGTCGACAAAGGCCGGCACCGTGCATCCGTACTCGGGCAGGTAGGCCGCCAGGTCTGTCTCGGGCGCGCCTGTGGCAGGCGTGAAGGGCGGCAAGCACGCGCAGGTGGGAGTCGTCAGGTCCGAGACGCCGTGGCTGTCGCTGAACAGCTCTGCGAAGTACTCGAGGTTTGTGCGCGGGCGCGCCACGATGGCCTCCTCATCCGCACACGAGGCGAGCGGGCTGCACGTGCGTGGATTCGCACCGCAAGTCGGCGGTGATACGTGCGCACCCAGGATGAGGCCCTCGAGCACGTCGGCGCTCCTCTCGCAGCCGGGCGCGTTGCGGGCCCGTAGCGCAAGCAGCCTCACGCTGGGAGGAGGGCGGAGAGACGTGGACGGAAGCAGCAGCGCTCCGTCTGAGAAGCCCACAGCCGGGAGCGGTGCTGGCGGCGCGGCCGAGTCCGCAGCTATGGCCGGCTTGCTGAGCGGGGCGCCGCAGGCGAGCCCAAGCTGCATCCCGACTGCGAGGAGCGAGGCCCCGCGATGCACGTACACTGCCGCGGCGCCGGACGCGCCTTGGTTGACGGAGGTGATCGAGTTGTTCTCAAAGACGGAGTGAAAGACCTCCAAGGAGCCGCCCACGTCGACGCTCGCCACGGCGAAGGAGGTCTCGGTGGCGCTGAGGTCGAAGACGCTGTTGTCTCTCACGCTGGAGCGGAGGAGGCGCGCACGGCCGCCGTGCCGGACCCACAGCACGCCCCCTCGGCGGGACTCCTCCGTCATGCCCGACGTGCCCAAATCGCGACCCTCGCACTCGGCGAGCTCGCTGCCTTGGCTCAGCGTCAGGTTGCCCTCGACGTACGCGGTGCCGGAGAGCTTCGAGTGGCAGCGCAGGATGGACGAGTTGGCCATGTCGAGCGTGCCCCCGCGGCTGACGTAGGCGGCAGAGCCGAGACCGCGCACCATCTCCAACTCACACTCCTGTACTAGCGAGTCGGACATCACGACGAGCGCCTCAGAGCCGATCGAAAGCCCGCCGCCCTCGTGATGCGCCCTGCAGCGCAGCACCTGCACCTCCGAGGCGTGCAGCGTCCCGCCGTGAATGGTGACGCCACCGCCGCAGCCCTCGCCCGGTCCAGACGACTGAATGTCCTCTCCGGTCGCCGCGCCTTGCTCTCGTGGCTGGTGGCGAGAGTGCGTGAAGGGGGTCCCGGCCGTGCAGCTCTCAAAGGTCGTGCGCCGCAGCCGGGCCGCCGTGTACAGCAGGTAGATGCCACCGCCCCCCCTGCCAGCCTCGCAGCTCTCCATCGTCACATCCGTCGCGGCCACGCGGGTCGTGGCGCCCGCCCAGACGCCGCCGCCCGACTGCAGCGCCTTGCAATGCCTGAGGTAAGGTAAGGTAAGGTGAACTTCTCCACACACCCACAAAAGTGGTGGGACGATGGGACTGCCTGAGCTCGCTGCGGTCGACCTCGATCAGGGCGCCGTCGTCCACAAAGATGCCGCCGCCGTTGCCAGAGGCGGTGCTCTCCTCGATGAGCGAGTCCGACAGCAGCAGCTGAGCGCCGTCGGCGACGAAGATGGCGCCTCCATCGCCAGCGGCGGTGCACCAGCGCAGCTCTGAGTGGCGAATCTCAGCCACGGCGCCCAAGAGAGCGATGCAGCCCGCCTCGCGAGCGGCCGAGGAGTCGAGAAAGAGGCTATCCTCGACGAGGAGCGACCCTCCGAGTACAAACAGACTGCCCCCGTCCAGAGCCCGCGCCCTCATCAGCGTGCAGCCCCGCAAGCGAACGTTCCCGTGGTGGCAGGCGATCGCGCCGCCGTATCGCGTCTGGGCGCCGCTGCGAATCACCGAGTCGAATGAGAAGAAGTCGAGGTCGGCGAGAGCGGACTGGTCAACGGCGTCCATCGGGCGGTGGGAGTGGACGTAGGCCATGCACTGGTCGAACAGCACGCTGTTCGCGTTGAGGGTGCTGCCAGGGCCGACCATCACGCAGCCGCCGCCGCCGCTGGCATCGCTCGAGTTTGCCCACCCAGCGCTGAGTGTCAGCGCTGAGAGCCTCAGTGTCCCGCGATTGGTGACCACGAAGGCGCGCGAGCGAAAGCCCGCATCGATGACGTGGCTGCCGTCACCGGCGAGGGTGACATCGATGCCATCGATCAGGACAGCTGCCCCATCCAGGTGGAATTTGGAGGAGCCGTTGAGGGCAACTCGCAGCGTACGCTGCGGGTGCCTCGCTTGGCGCGCAATGCTCTGGCGAATCTCGCTCACGCTCGAAGCGACGACCCAAGTCTCCTCCTCTGCCTCCGCCGCTACCTCCGCCGCTACCTCCGCCGCTGCCTCTGCCTCGGTCGCCGTCTCCGCTGACGCTGCCGCCGCCGCCGCCGCCTCTGCTGCCGCCGCCGCTGCCTTTGCCCTGCTGCCGAGTTCGAGCGCCGCCATCAGCACGCTCAGCAGCTTCGCCGGTGAAGGGTTGGGCGGCGGCGGGGGAGAGGGCGGCGCCGGTGGCGCCAACGGAGTGCCGTACAATGTCCAATCGTTTATTACGGCCGACACCACGCCTGAAGAAACCTGAGCCGCGGTGTGAGGCTCGACTGGAGCTTGCGGCGGCGGCGGCACAGGCGGCGGCAATGGGAGAGGCGGCGGCAGCAGCGGCGCTGGCGGCACGCTCGTCAAGTCCCACTGGCTCCAGTCATTGAGGGTCGCCTGTGGAGCGGCTGCGCCGTCGGCGGCAAGTGCGAGCAACAGCAGCATCAACGTGCTGGCCCAGGGCCGGGCGATGGCCTCCCTTCCACTTCAGCTGGGCCTTTCAAGGACGACTAGCACCTGCTTTTCTTTTTTAATCCTTAAACAGATGTTTCGGTACGGATCATGTAGTCCCCACAATCGCTGTGTGGGATCGCTTGTCATGTGAGAGCGCGGCTTGTGTTTAAATGAAATCGGGGGCACGGGACGCGGCACAAACGGGAGGATCTCTCTCTCTCTCAAACGGGGCACAAACGCCAAGAAAGAAAGAAAACGCACAACCCAAGGGAGGGATGGGAGGACGGCACGCCGCCACCACACAGCGATTTTCAGAAATTATTGTTTTCTCTGCGTTATTTGGAGTTTCCCGGCAACCTCGCGCTTCTAGCCATGGTGGCGCTGCGCAGTTCTACGACGCTGCTTCTAGCCATCGCCGCCGCCGCCGCCGCCGCGCTGGCGCCTCCGGCTCGGCTGCGCGGGCTCGCCGGTGATGCGACGCCGCAGGCCCGCCGCGTCGAGGGCCGGGAGGCGGCCGCTCTCGCCCAGCCGGTGGCAGAGCTGTGCGCCGAGGCCATTCTGCTGGCGGACGGGCGGACTGAGAGGGCGATCCTGGCCTCGGCCCTCGCCCGCGACCTGCGGCAGCGCGTCGGCGGCAGCCGGAGCGGCAGCGGCGCACTGTGGGTCGCTCAGGACGCCGACAGCAACGTCGTCGCGAGCTGCGCGATCGAGGTGGGTCGCCTCTCGCCGGCGGCGCTGGACGAAAATCGGCTGCGCGGGCAGAACCCGCTCGAGGCGGACGTGGCCGAGCGGCCGCTCCTCTCCTCCCTCGCCGTCAGCCCGGACTGGCGGCGGCGCGGGCTGGCGCAGCGGCTGTGCCGCGAGGCGGAGGGGCTCGCGAGGGAGTGGGGGTACGATGAGGTGCTGCTCAAGGTGGAGCGGGACAACCGGCGCGCGCGCAAGCTCTACCGCAAGCTCGGCTACCGAGACGTCGCCGTCGACGCCGGCGCCGAGCGGCCAGAGGCGGGAGAGATAGAGAGGCGACACAGAGTGAGGCGAGACGGTGGCTCCGACCACCGACGCGTTGTTGTTGATGGCACGGCAGGGGAGGACAGGTCACGGGAGCGACACTCGCACATACAGACTGGCCACTCTGACCTGACTGTCACACACACAGACACACAGTACACACACGCGCACACGCACGCACGAACACGCACACACACACGCACGCACACGCATGCGTGTGTGCTCACGCACACACGCACGCGCACGCACACACACAAGAATCCCCGCCAGCGGGCCTGTCACACTCCGTGAGCGCGCGTCGCAGGCGGGGCCGGGCGGTGTCCGGTACGTGCCGACGGTGCAGGTCGCCATGCGCAAGGACCTGAGAAGGCCCCCCGCCGACACGGTCGCCGCCGCCGCCGCCGCCGTCGCCGCCGCCGCCGCCATCGCCGCCGCCGCCTACTTGGGCGCAGTGCTCCATGACGACGCGGCCGCCGTCGCCGCCCTGGTGGCGGACGGCCGCGCCGGCGCCGCGCTGGAGCGGGTGGGGCAGCTCGTCACCGCGGCATTGCCCTCCTCGCTGCCTGGCCTCCGCGGGCTCTGAGGTTGAGTACTACAACGACTCTCTCTCTCTCTCTCTCTCTCTCTCTCTCTCTCTCTCTCTCTCTCTCTCTCTCTCTCTCTCTCTCTCTCTCTCTCTCTCTCTCTCTCTCTCTCTCTCTCTCTCTCTGAGTGTGTGGAGGGCCTCAGGCACGAGGAAACATTTGGGTTCGGGTGGCGACGAATTTCTTATTTTCAACCGGGACCCCTTCGGCACTTTGATCACACCACATCTTGGTTGCTTCCAGCTTCGACTGCGCCGCTGCTCCGCTGCCACTGCTCCGCTGCTTCAATGGCCAAGTTCCTCCGCCCCTCTCTCCGCCACCGCGGGATCCAGAACGTCGCCGCGGCGGAGCGAGGCCACCTCCCAACCCTGTCAAAGCGCGAGCCATGGCTTCAGGCGCGGTCTTCTCTTCTCCAGCGGCCGCCCGCCAAGCCGCTCCCGTCCCACCGGGCCGGCGATCCCGAGACTGCGTGGGCGGATCGGAACAATATGCTCGAGCGCATTGCACTAGTTGCGAGGTGCGACGGCTTCTCGGCCTTTGATGCAGAGGGCGTCGGCCGCCTTGTCGGAGAGCTCAGGCCGACGCTCGGCCTAGAGGTGGAGTCGCTGCTGCCTCTCTTCGCAAATCTGGGAGTCATTAAGAACGTGCGCTCCATGGCGTGCGAACGAGAGCACTCGCTCAAGGCGCAAAAGCAGGCGGCCGAACACGCCGTCCGCCACCTCGAAGACACCGTCGCCGCCCTCGAGGCGCACCTGCGCGACCCGCTCCGGCGGTCGGCCGACTCGGCGCCCGGGGAGGTGCTTTGCTCGCGGCTGCTGGGACTAACCAGCGGCATGCGAGTTAGCCCGCCGTACAGCGCCGTGGGTGGCCTCTCTGGCCTTGTCGACCGCATCAAGGTGCGCTACGACGCGCAGGCGCGCACGCTTCGCGAGGAGGGCTTCCGGGCGAGCGCCTTGCTCAAGGAGATTGGCCGCGGCGACCTGGCCAGTTTCCGCGTCGTGGAGGTTGTCATCGCGGACCGCGAGCGGTTGCTGCAGCAAAAGGTAAGTGCCGTCCTCGAGGGCCTGGGGGCGAGGTCGCTGCGCGTGCTGATGGAGGACCGCGCCACGGCGGAAAGACAGGAGGCGGCGGCGGCGGGCTGGGAGGCGGCGAGGGAGGCGGTGGCGGTCACCGAGGGGGCGACGGGCGGCAGCGCCGCGTAGTGGACGAAGGGCAGGCCGGGGAACTGGCGGCTCGGACAGAGCCAGACAGTGCGCTAGAGGGCGGTGTGACGTGGTGACTGAGGTGTGTGTGGCTGTGGGAGGGGTAGTTTTGGGGCTGAGGGTTGGAAAGTGCTCGTCAAGTATGCGCAGTAATGGATGGGGCCGACTTTTCTGCCACTCTAGTCCTCAGTCGGACAGGCGTCTGGCCGCTCGCGCCCTCGCCCTCGCGCTGCCCCTCCTCGCTCCTGAGCAGCTGGAGCTCCTGCGGAGTGCGGTGCGCTCCTCCTCGCAAATGTCTTGGTTTGGCGGGCACGCTGAGGGGGGGGGGGGGGGGTCTCACACGACACGCACACGGTCTGCAGAGAACTCGTGTGCGCTTGGGTTGGTCAGTGGGTCAGTCGCGCGGTTCGCGCGAGTATCGAGATCACGAAGATCCACGTCCACCGGCCTCAGGCCTCACGCGATCAGCCCACAGCCGACACGGGGGGGGGGACTCACGTGAAGGAGCGAAAGTGCTTGTGCACATAACAACCAAAAACAAAACCATATTCGAGACTCTCCGGGCCACCGCCCGGGTGAGTAACGCGCGAGTAGCGAGCAAAGAAGTGAGCGACAACACAGTGAGAAGAGAGAGAGCCGGAGAGCGACGTAAACGGTCCAGCACACGTATCACGGGGAGAGGGAGGAGCCACGCTGCCGGGGGCAGCTCAGAAGGAGGCGTCGCCCCAGTACGCGCCCCACGTCTGGCCCGTGACCGCCTCCTGCGCCAGGAAGCCGGCAGCGGCGATCATGCCGAGGCGGCCGTGCGACAGCTCGCGCTCCTGCATGAGGCGCAGGTCCTTCTCGTTGCCCGGCGCGAGGTTGAGGGGGTCAAAGTTGAGGTAGCCAGGGTAGTAGTCTGGGCGGAGGGCGGACGGCGCCTTGCCCGTCTTGGGGTCCACCTTGGCCCACCCCACGCGGATGCGGTAGAGCTCTGCGTTGCCGATGCCGATGGTCATGACGATCCACAGCCAGAAGGGCAGCTGGGGGATCTGGTCAATGGCCGGGCCGCCGTCGCCGGAGAAGAGCGGGTGGAAGCGCTCCTGCACGAGGAAGCCGGTCGCCGCGAGCATGCCGACGCGGCCGTGCGCCAGCTCCGCCTCACGCAGCCGGTAGACCTCGCCCTTGCTCTTGCCCTCGAGGAAGCCGGCGGGATCGAAGTTGCCGAGGATGTTGTCGCCGCCGGGCAGGCCGAACGCAAACTCGTCGGCGAGCGGGTCCTTCTTGGCGGACTGGAGGGCGGGAGGGAGGAGGCGTGAGGCCGCGGTGGTGCGAGCAGGCGTGACGTGTGGCGCGATGGCTTTGGCGGCGCTGGCGCGATAGCTTGTGGGTGCACACCTTCTTGCGCATCGCGACGGCCATGCGCGGCGACACCTTGGGGGTTGCGACGAGCGCGGGGCCGGCTAGCGAGAGCGGCGAGGAGAGGAACGCGAGCGACATGGTGAGGAAAGGAGAGGTGATGACGATGCTTCTGCGACGCTTCCGAGACGCTTCCGAGACGCTTCCGAGACGCTTCCGAGACGCTTCCGAGACGCTGCTGGTCGATTCCTCGACATTTCCGATGCTTTTCGCGACACTTTCATTTCCGATGGTTAACAAACAACCGACGTTCACGCGTGCAATCATTCGCACGCGGTTATTCCGGCGATGTCAAGGTCGTCTGTCCCCTCAGCAGGCAGCAGCGGGGATGGGAGCACGGTCGGAAGGGAGGGCGCTTTTGTCGCTTTCGGCGAGAGCGTTCTTTCTACCGGAACATGGTCGTGGGGCATGGGCCCTACTGCGAGGAGGGAGAGGGGGGGGGGGGGTGAGTATTCTTGCCGCCGCGTGCACGCACGCAGCAGCCGCCGCGGCAGAGACGAGCCGCGGCGACGGCCGCAACTGATAACTGCCATCACACTCACACACACAAACAGAACAACACAAAAAACACCTCGGCTGCGAAAATTCTCATTGCAAAACGATTCGACTCGGCCAGCGGCCGTCTCCCTCGCGGCCGCCTCTTCCCTCGCGGCCTGCACACACACACATGCTGCTCGCGGCTGCCCTCTCTGTCGTGCGGCCGGCTGCGGTCGCTAGCAGCCGGCAATCTGTCTCGCGCGGCGGCCGGCCCTCGATGGCCGCGTCGCGCCTCGAGCAGCTCGCCGCGGTGACCACCCTCTCGATAGACACCGGAGACCTCGACGTCATTGCCGAGTACGCAAAGACGGGCAGCATAACCGACGCGACGACGAACCCGCTGTTTGTGAGCCAGGCGGGCCTCAGCGGCGACGAGCGGTACGTCGCGTTTGTCGACGCGGCCGTGCGCTACGCCAAGGCGAACGCCGACGGCGACGGCGCCGTGCTCGAGCTGGCGATGGACCGGCTCGCGGTGGAGCTCGGCCTCGAGATCGTAAAGCTGGTGCCCGGGTACGTGTCCACCGAGGTGGACATCCGCGAGTCCTTCAACACCGCCGAGTCGCTCCGCCGCGCGCGCCGCATCATCGCCATGTACGAGGCCGAGGGCGTCGACCGCTCGCGCGTGCTGGTCAAGCTGGCGGGGACGTGGGAGGGGATCCAGGCGGCGCGCGAGCTCGAGCGGGAGGGCATCCGGTGCAACATCACCCTCATCTTCGGCTTCATCCAAGCCGTCGCTGCTGCACAGGCCGGCGCCCGCCTCATCTCGCCCTTCCCCGGCCGCATCAAGGACTGGCACTCTGCAAACGGAGGCGAGTCCACCTGCGAGCCGAGCGATGACCCCGGAACCTTCTAGGAACCTTCTAGGAGCCTTCTCCTAGGCGAGTCCACCTACGAGCCGAGCGATGACCCCGGAACCTTCTAGGAACCTTCTAGGAGCCTTCTCCTAGGCGAGTCCACCTACGAGCCGAGCGATGACCCCGGAGTCAAGTGCGTGCGGCGCATCTACGCGTACTACAAGGCGCACGGGCACGACGGCACCATCTGCATGCCCGCGTCGTGGCGGCCCTCGCGCGGACCGTCGGACCCTGCCTTCGCCACCGACGAGATCGTCGCTCTCGCCGGTCTGTGCTGGGACACGCTGCTCACCACACGCCCACTGACACGCACCCACGACACGCCCACTGACACGCCCACGACACGTCCACTGACACGTCCACTGACACGTCCACGACACGTCCACTGACACGTCCACTGACACGTCCACTGACACGTCTACTGACACGTCCGCTGACACGTCCACTGACACGTCCACTGACACGCCCGCTGACACGTCCACTGACACGTCCACTGACACGTCCACTGACACGTCCACTGACACGCCCGCTGACACGTCCACTGACACGTCCACTGACACGCCCACTGACACGTCCGCTGACTCGTCCACGACCGGCGTGGACCGGATGACGGTATCCCGCCTCCGAGATCACCCGAGATCACCCGAGATCATCCGAGATTAGGCGTGGACCGGATGACGATCCCGCCCCCGCTGCTGGCCAGCCTGGCGGAGAGCGAGGCGCCCCTCGCCCGCGCCCTGCAGCCGGACGTCGCCGCCGCCGCCTGCTCGGACCCGATCGTCGGCGGAGGAGAGACATCTCCGAGTCTCAGCTGCGGAGCCCGTTCACGCTTGCACGCGTCATCCGCTGTGAGCAGGCGACATGTCCGAGTCTCAGTTCCGGCTCGCGCTCAACGCCGACGTGTGCGCCACCACCAAGATGGCCGAGGGGATCAACGCCTTTGTCGCCGAGACGCTCAAGCTGGAGCAGGCGCTCCGCGCGAAGCTGTGAGCGGCCGGGAAGTGGCATTGTGAGGCGTCGATGGGTCTGTCCGGAAGCGGCGGAGGCGGGGTCAGGGCTCGCGCAGGATAGATAGTCGTGGGAGGCAGAGGCGCGTGGTGGCGACCCGCCGCCGCACAGCTCTCAGCGCGCGCGCCGCGCGAGGGGCCTCGGCGCGAGGCGCGCGGTCCCGCTCATCGTCGTGTAGCGCCGAGGAGGGCCACATCCGCGAGAGTGTATTTGTTCTTGTCAAGTATTTTTTCTTGTCACCCGCATATGAAGAGAGCTCTCTCTCTCACAATTGCGCGCGCTCGCTCTAATATGATTATATAACTAATGAGTAATGTGGACTTAGGACAAAAACACACAAAATCTCTCGCTCTCATCAATGACAATGTGTGTAATGCGTAATGTGTGGAGAGCACTTATTGTTGGTTCATGGAGCTAAGCGCCTAAGGACCACGGGAAATATTGAACTTTTGAATATATTCTCAAATAGTTAGAGAGGCGATCAATATCAATATAAATAGTTAGAGGAGAGGCTGGGCCTGGGGCTGGGCTGGTCCAGGACCGTCAGGTTGGACTCAACATATCAATATATCCAGCGATGGGGGTCCATCCTGGGCTTGAAAGTGGCTCTAAATCGTTAAAAACGGGCCAAAATCGCTTCGAATCGCTTAAACCGCATTGAAAATCGCCTTGAACTCGCGATTTTTTCGATTTCAGCCCACATCTAGGCAATGTTTGGGACAAATCAGCGATCAATATGTCAATATATTGTCAATAGTTAGAGGGGATGCTGTCAATAATCAATATCAATAGTTACAGGGCGAGAATCAATCTTTCCCGTGGTCCTTACATGGAGCACTTTTGGAGCACTTGGAGTGCAGTCAGTAACCGCACATCCAGGGCCGGGGAGCTAAGAAGCGCACCCAGCGGGCCGGATGATTGGCATCGGGTTGCGGGCAAGAGAGCCCTAGCCCCGGGGGTGCGCGTTCGCAGGGCAAGGGCCTTAAAGTAAACACGGGTCTCCGAGGGTTAGTCCCGCGTACCGGGTTTCCCCTTAACTTTTGGATCTTGAATATGCGGCGACACACCGCCGCACAACGGGTGACACGTCCAAGGCAGCCACGCTGTTCGACCGGCTCCTCGCGACACGGCAAGCCGACGCGTACCAGCTCGGCGTGTCATGCTCAAGGCGTGTAAGTGGCAGCGACGTGCAGAGAGCGCTGCTTCGTCGGGCGGAGGGGAGGGCGGCGTGGTGCCCGACGTGTCTACGTACAACCCCGCATCTTAGAGAAGCATATTACCTCAAGATGCGCATATCATCTGTACGGTGTCGGTGTCGCGTTTTTGCTTTTTGCCCTCGCTTTTTCGGTTTTTGTTTTTCGATTTCGTTTGATTAGACATTAGAGTGTACACATGTATTTTTATGGCACTTGAGTATTTGAATCTGAACCCGAACGACACCGATTACGTTACGCTCCGGTCTATGACTGTATGACTACCCGCCGGGTCAGTCCTCCCCTTCCTCACCCGCATGCCTCCGAGCTCCACCCGAGATTACCCGAGATCAGTCCTCCTCGTCGGGCACCCGCATGCCGCCGAGCTCGAGCCCGAACCATCGCGTCACCTGCACAGCGGGCCCGGGGCATGGTCAGATGGGAGGGAGTCGCGGGTAGTGGTTCTCCTACATATCACTGGTTGGACTGGCGGGTCAGGTCGTGGCTAAGTTGGCCCTCATCCGTGGTGTCCGCGTACCGTGGGCACGCTGTACCGGTCACCCATGGCGCGGCCGAGGTCGGGCCCATCCACTGGCAGCCCCGCCTCCTCCCAGCCTATGTCAGGGCGGGGGGGCGTGTCTCGTGCCGCTCGGCGCACAAAGACGGCCGAGTACGCGCCGTCTCGGGCGTGTGCGCTAGTTGGAAGGCGGGGGTCTGTCTCGGGGGTCTGTCTCTCGCACCTGGGCCTCGAGATACGGGGAGATGTGGGGAGATGTGGGGAGATATCCCGCATCTGGCTTCGAGATGTGGGGAGATGTGGGGAGATATCCCGCATCTGGCCCTCCCGCCCAGCCGACGCCGGATCGACGCGAGCCGGTCGATGTGGGACTGCTGGTTGGAGACGGGCTGCTGCAGCGGGTAGAGGAACACCGACTGGCGCGTCGCCGAGCGGTAGAGCAGCCGGACGCCTCCGTCGTCGCGCAGCACAAACTCGACGTCGTCGGTGCCGTCCGTGGGCACCGCCGAAGGGCCGGTCGCGCGCAAGTAGCGCCCGCCGTCGTCCTGCTCGACGATGCGCAAGCCGGGCTCCTCGGCCACCGCCGCGGCGACACTGCGCCACGCCCGCGCCGCGTCGGCCGCCTCCTGCGCGCTGATCGGGCTCCATGGCGGCGCAAACTTGCTCGGGTTTGAGATTGCCGACGTGGAGAGGCAGGCCTCGTCGGCGGCGCAGCTGCGCACCCTGCCACCGGCCAGCCCGTAGCCTTGGCAGGTCACGGTCGTGGCGGAGGGAGTCGATGCCGTCGTGCACTTGCGTCCCACGTCGCCCGTGATGGTGGCGGCGCGGGCGGCGAGCGGCGGAAAGCAGAGCGACGCGGAGAGGGCTAGCCCCGCGTGGAGCGCGGCGCGGCGATGCGGGCTGCTGGTGTGGTGGATGTGCGCGAGAGCTTGCCGGCTGGCCTCACTGCCGATCACAGCCGGCCGCGCGACAGAGAGGGCAGCCAGGGCAGCCGCGATCGATGCGGCCAGCATTATGTCTGTGCACTGAGGGCGCGCACAGGAAAAGAAGCAAGAAGATGCAAGGAGAAAAGAAAACGTCAGATGTGCGGGACCTCTGTGGCTGGACGCGTACCGAAGTGGCGAAGGACAGCGACGCGACGCGGCGAAATGGGCCCTTACCCCGCTCTGCCACTATGACCCGGTTTCGCGCCCCGCGAGGTCTCTTGGGCGATGCCGATCCCCCTCTGCGTGGCCGACTCTACACACAGCGAGCCTTCCTGTCTCCCTGCCACCTCGACGCCAAGCTTGCCGCCGAGGTTCTCCACCTCTCGAGCTATGGCCAATTCTTGTCGCCTCGTCGACAAGGCAGGTGGAGCATCGACGACCGCCCTCTTCACCTACGCGCGCCTCTGGCTCTTCTCCGAACAGGTTCTGATGGTTCGCCAAGATTTCCTGGTGCCGGTGTTCTGGCCCACACGGATGCAGCTCGCGCTCTTCACGTTCGCATTCTTGCGGCCCAGCCGCGTTGCGCTGGGTCTCTGCGTGGCTATGCGTATCAGCATGTACACCGCACAGGCGCCCATGATCTGGGATTCGTCCATCTGGGCCAACTTCACGGACTGCTGCTTTCTCTCCTCGCTCGTCTTGTGCGCCGACGCCGACGTGCTGCGTGGAACTGGCGATACCGTGCGCGTCATGATGGGCATGTTCTACGTCGCAGCAGGCTTTTGGAAGCTGAACAGCGCGTTTCTCGATGCCACTGTCTCGTGCGGCTCCATCTACGTCGCCTCGCTTTTGGCGTATCTCCCGCCCGCGCTCACACCAGCGTGGCTCGTGAAGCCTGCCCTGGCCGCTGCGCCTCTGATGACGATCGCAGGCGAGATGGTCCTCGGCGTCTGCTTGCTCTCGTCCAGCCGTCCGGCGCGGCGTGCTGGCATGCTCCTCTCGGGGCTGCTGCACTTCGCCATCGCCATCACGCCGCACCCCAACTCGGTGCCCACGTTCGGTGTGATGTGCATGGTACGCATGTTCCACGTGATGCCCCACGCCTGGACAGCCACGCTGCGGGAGGCTCTCGCGCCGCCCGGCGACCGCCGTGGCCTCGCCATCCGAGCGGCGGGCGCCGCGCTCGTAGCTGGCTCGTGTGGCTTCACCTCCACTCCGGGCTTCACGGTCGACTACGCCATCCCACTTCAGTTTGCACTCTGCCTCAGCGCCGCCCGCGCAGCGCTGCACGCGGCAGCGGCGGCAGCCGTCAGTGAGTCACCCGAGCGACGCGGTCCGAGCGCGCTGCTGCGGGTGGTCAATGCGCTGTTGGTCCTTGGCGTGTTTGGGTATGCCTTCCTCTCGCAGCCTCTGGGTCTCATGGACATTGGCGCCGCGTCGCCCTTTGCCTCGATCCGGCTGCACGGCGGGTCGAACCACCTGCTGATGCCCACGGGCCTTCTGCAGCGCTGGGCCGGCGACGACTTCTCACGCTCCGACCTCTTTGGGGGCGGGGTCGTCCGCGTGACGCGCACCGACAGCGCGTACCTCAACGCTCTCTGGCCGGCGAATTGCACGGGCGAGCTGCGCCCTCGCATCACGAGCCTTCTGCGCGACGGAAGGCACATCGCGCTGCAATTCAACCCGACCGCGCGGCGCACGCTCGGCCCGTTCCTGCGCGAGCACTTTATGCACCGCTGGCGGCCTGAGAGCGGCGCGCCCTTTGAGGCGTTCACCATCCCCGCCTTCGAGCTGCGGCGAACGCTCGAGGAGGTGCGCCAGAGTCGCGAGGCGTTTGCCATAGAGTATGAGCGCCTCCCGGGCGTCGTGGGCGACGAGGCTTGGCGCACGGCCGCCTGGCGCTCGCGCGTGGCATACACCGAGGACGGGCGGGGCGGGCGGACGTGCCGCGCCAAGGCAGCCGGGGCGCACTTTTGGGCCGAGTGTGCAGACGACGAGATCGTGGTGCGCCCCTTCCCGCCCGGGCTGGGCGGCCTCTACCTTTGGAAGACGGCGCTGTGGTTTGCGTATCCCATCATCGAGGGCATCGAGGAGCTGCCGTGCATGGACTGACGGCGGCAGGAAGCGGGTGGGCGGGTGTATTATAGGAAGGTGACGACACAGCCAGGCTCGGCCTGGACACCAGTGTATATTTTGAGGCGTTAAAAAAACCAAAAAGAAAGAAAAAAGTCCACCGCTGTGGCTCTCTGGTGCCACCGATTCTCGCTGTCCGCCGACTTCTCCGCCTGGATCTGGCGCCCTCGCCGCCTCCGCCCAGCCCACCTCCACCATCACCGCCGCCGCCTTCTCCGCCGCCGCCATCGCCACCTCCTCCCTCGCCCCCACCGCCCAGCCCGCCGCCGCCCAGCCCGCCACCGCCCAGCCCGCCGCGCCGCCCTCGCCGTCGACAAGGAGAATAGAAATGGGAGCCCCGGGAAGGTTACACCACACACGCCCACACACCCGCACACCCACACACGCACACACCCACACGCGACACACCCACACGCCCACACACCCACACACCCACACACGCCCACACTCCCACACACCCACCACACGCACACACACACACACACACACACACACACACACACACACACACACACACACACACACACACACACACACACACACACACACACACACACACACACACACACACACACACACACACACACACACACACACACACACACACACACACACACACACACACACACGCACACACCCGCACACCCACACACCCACACACACACACCACACACCCACACCCACACCCACACCCACACCCGCCCCCCACCTCGCCCACGCAGAAATCGCCAACCAAAATCGCCCCCCCCCTCCCCCAACCAAGCAGCGACGCTGACGAGTGACGGCCAAAGCCGGCATGTATGGAAAAGAAAGAAAGTCGTCAGCCGATGGAAGGGAGAGGGACAGACAGCAGAATCTTGGAGACCGCCGTGATTGATGATAGAAAGGCGATGAACAGTCTGGCTCGACATCTTGAATCACTTGGAGCACTTGGAGTGCAGTCATTAACCGCACATCCAGGGCCGGGGAGCTCAGAAGCGCACCCAGCGGGCCGGATGATTGGCATCGGGTTGCGGGCAAGAAAGCCCTAGCCCTGGGGGTGCGCGTTCGCAGGGCAAGGGCCTTAAAGTAAACACCCGCCCGGGGGTGCGCGGTCGCAGGGCCATAACACGTCTCCGAGGGATGGTTCCGTGTACCGGGTTACCCCTTAACTGCAGAACGCACCCTCTTCCTCGACCGTGGGGGGGGGGTGCGCAGTCGCAGGGCCATAATCAAGTTTTAAACCTCATCAATATCCGCCCTCGTCCTCCTCGCACATTTCGAAGCAGGCCGTTCATGTCAGGGCATGTCCATAATCCGTTTGCTGATGTCAACAAAGTTTACATCACCGCTGCCGGCCCTAGCGCCGTCACCAACGCCCCCCTCACCATCGCCGCCGTCACCGACGCCGGCACCACAACGATCTCTCAGGCGTCGCCCTGAAGATGGGAGTTATTCGCAAAGCCGCTGGGGCCAGTATCGCCGACTTTCTGAGACAGAGGTGACCAAGTGCGAGGGCTGCAACAACATCAATGGGCCAGGCGAGTGCTGGAACACCTGCGGCGACGCAGCCGGGCTCTGCTCCAAATGCGACGGCACGCTGGGCACACCGGGGGCGTGCTGCCAAAACGGGAAGTCCGACGATCCTCCCGAATGCCTGTGGGTGCCCAACACCAGCTATTTGTACGATGGCTACCATACGTGCGTGCTGCTCCCACCTGGACCGCCCTCGCTGCCGCCGCCCTCGCTGCCGCCGCCCTCGCTGCCGCCGCCCCCGCCGCCCCCGCCGCCGCCACCGACGTCTCCGCCCGCGCCGCCTTGTGGGCCGGGCTACGGGCAAGTCGCGGGCGATGTCGCCAACGCCGGTGCAATCAACGGCGTCGGCAACAACATGGCGATCACCGGCTGCGACGTGTGCTCCGACGCTTGCGACAACGAGCCGTTGTGTATGTCGTACGAGTGCAGCGCGGTGCAGCTCCTGTGCAACCTCAACACGCAGACCTGGCCCGACGGGTACCCGAGCTCGAACGCGGACTACGAGGACTTCGCCTTCTGCGTCAAGCTTCAGCCGCCGCCGCCCTCGCCCCCGCCCTCGCTCCCGCCGCCGCCACCGACGTCTCCGCCCGCGCCGCCTTGTGGGCCGGGCTACGGGCAAGTCGCGGGCGATGTCGCCAACGCCGGTGCAATCAACGGCGTCGGCAACAACATGGCGATCACCGGCTGCGACGTGTGCTCCGACGCTTGCGACAACGAGCCGTTGTGTATGTCGTACGAGTGCAGCGCGGTGCAGCTCCTGTGCAACCTCAACACGCAGACCTGGCCCGACGGGTACCCGAGCTCGAACGCGGACTACGAGGACTTCGCCTTCTGCGTCAAGCTTCAGCCGCCGCCGCCCTCGCCCCCGCCCTCGCTCCCGCCGCCGCCACCGACGCCTCCGCCCGCGCCGCCTTGTGGGCCGGGCTACGGGCAAGTCGCGGGCGATGTCGCCAACGCCGGTGCAATCAACGGCGTCGGAAACAACATGGCGATCACCGGCTGCGACGTGTGCTCCGACGCTTGCGACAACGAGCCGTTGTGTATGTCGTACGAGTGCAGCGCGGTGCAGCTCCTGTGCAACCTCAACACGCAGACCTGGCCCGACGGGTACCCGAGCTCGAACGCGGACTACGAGGACTTCGCCTTCTGCGTCAAGCTTCAGCCGCCGCCGCCCTCGCCCCCGCCCTCGCTCCCGCCGCCGCCACCGACGCCTCCGCCCGCGCCGCCGCTGCCGCCGCCCTCGCTGCCGCCGCCCTCGCTGCCGCCGTCCCCACTGCTGCCCGAGGTCCGACTCGGACAACGACGGCTCACCAGATGCGGAGGAGGGCATGGCCGACAACGACAGTGACGGCACACCCAACAGCCTCGACCCCGACTCCGATGGTGACGGCTTGCCCGACGCTGAGGAGCACGGCAGCGACGCCGATAGCGACGGCCTCCTAGACCGCGACGAGAGCAACACCGCCGACGCCAACAGCGATGGCATCCTAGACGCCATGGACTCCACCACGCCTGCTTTGGTTCGTCAGGACCCCCATGTTCACTTCGCGCACGGCGGTCGGGCTGACTTCCGGGGCCGCAACGGAGCTTACTACAACTTCTTCTCTTCGCCTCGCCTAGCCGTCAACGTCAAGACTGAGGATGCGACGTTCCGGCTACACGGCGGCAAGCTCATCGTCCATGGCAGCTTCCTCACCGAGGCGCATATCGTCGCTGGCTCCTCAAACCCCGCTCCCGCCCACGCCTCCTTCTTTTCCCATTCGCTGAACGACGAGAACTGGGGGTGGAACGTCATCAATGGGACATGCAAAAACCGCCGCTTCAAGTTCGGAAAGTGGGGGTTCAAGCAGTGTGGTGAGCTCAGAATTGAGATGACCTTCTCCACCGCCACCTTCACCCTCGGCAACTGGACCATTACTGTGCGGGGCAACCACGTTTACGATTGGATCTCGGGACCGAAGCACCGCATTGATGTCAGCTTCAGTGCGAAGGGCGACGCCGCCACGCGATCTCTGCCGCATGGAATCATCGGACAATCCTTCGCCTCGGCTGCGCCACGGTATGGCCTGCTAGACGATTACCCCAAGGCCGGCGAGTTCACGACCTCGGCGATGGGAGAGGGCGCGATTGAGGGGGAGGCTACTATGTACGAGATGCCTTCTTCTCATGCCACGGACTATGCCTTCTCGCGCTTCCACAAGGCAGAAGCTGCAATCGACATAGATCCGCTGCTAGCGCTCGGTGCGAGCGCTGCCACCGTCCAGGAGCAGGACGTGTAACGATCCACTCGTTCAGGAGCAGGCGCGAATCGTTCTGCGTGGGATGGGAGGGGGGCTGGCCTAAGGCCTAAGAGTTTGGGTTTCGGGTTCCTGAGGGAGGGTGTAGAGGATGTAGAGTGTGTAGAGCGCTGTGAACTGTATGTAGAGATGTAGAGCCGCTGTGTAGAGCTCTACATCCGGCCGGCGCGGGACGGACCGCGTGCGTGCGTTGTAGAGCGAAACCCTATGGCAGGCGGGAGGGTACGCGCCCTCGTATAATGGTGAATGCTCAACCGCTCCAGCCAGCCGCTTACGGCTGGTGAAGAATCAGTCAGCCTCGGACTGGGACACCAGCGCGGTGTGTATATGGGTTCCCTTGGTATTACAGCTGGGTGGGATGCCGCGCCGTTATTTTCCGCGAGTTCAGGGTATCGCTCGGGAGGCCCACCCCGGGCCGACCACGGGTATATCTTGAACACAATGCTATTTCTTTTTTCAGGTGTACCTGTGTTTAGCGCCAGTCAGTGGACAGTGCGCGCCAGTCCCGTGCCCCTAGTGTTGTGCTAGCTCCGGCCGCAGCCCCGCCCAGCCGCCCTTAGTTCGTCCCCTCAGTAGAGAAGACTAATCCTGGGGGAAGCAACCAGCACTCTCTGCTATTCTCTCAGTGCGGCAGACAAGAAGATATGGTGACGTGCACCAGTTCTGACAGCTCCGACAGCGTCTGACAGCAACATCTGACAGCTCCGACAGCACCCGACAGCTACAGATCACCTCTGATGTCAGACAAGCACCCGACAGCACCCGACAGCACCGACAGCACCTGACAGCTGGTCCGACAGAGGCACCTGACAGTGCCTGACAGTGCCCGACAGCCCGACAGATCACCTGACAGCACCTGGCAGCCTGACAGCCAGGGCTCAGCCCCCACAAACACAACGGTGCGGGGAGGTTTGGTCTTTGGAAACGGTTAGCCGATATCATCCACGCCAGGGTCGTCAGGCGGCGCCCTCGCGCTGGCCCGCTCCTCCTCCTCCGCCCATTCCGACAGGAGGTCGAGCTCGGCCCGCAGCTCCCTCACTACCTCCTTCAGATTGTCGGTCGAGCTGGCCCGCTCGGTGCTCGCAAACATGGCGTGTCTGTTGCAAGTATACGCAAGTCATGGGTGCAGCGGCGCGCTCTACTCGGCATGAACGAAAATGGAATGAGGTGGACTCCGCATCTAGGCGCGAGCCCGATCCGCAGCAGCCGCCACAAGCGGAGGAACATGACGAGCCCGATCAGGTCGGAGAGCCCCGCCGTGTTGTAGAAGACGCACTCGAGCACTAGCGACGCTGAGACGATGACGATGTCGAGCACATAGTACACGTTCGAGAAGAAGTCGCGCAGACCACTCGCCGCGAGCAGCGTCAGCAGCTCAATCTCAAAGAGGCTCAGGATCGCGACGCTCGCCCAGGTTAGCACCTAGGGAGGGAGGCAGAGGCCTCCCGACGTCTGAATCAGGAATCGCGTGCAGGACCTCGGGTGAGCGCCGCATGCGCAGTGTGCACGGCGGGGTGCGCGTGCTCGTCGCAGCCCACGCCGTGCGGGCCCTCCACCGTGCCCTTGCCGCACAGGCTATGATGCCCGCCGTGCTCCGCCTCGGCGACAGAGGGGGGCGGCGGTGAGGTGTGGCGGCGGTCAGGAGGAGGGAGATGGCGGGGAGGAGAAGAGAGGCGGCGGAACGGAGAGAGGGAGCCCTCGCCTCGGCGAGATAGCGCAGCGTGTGGTGCTCGCCCTCCTCTCCTGCGGCGCAGCAGCTGACCGTGTCGCGCTTGGCTAGCCTGCGCGAGCCACCAAAGAGGCTGGCTTCGTGAGCGCTGAGCGTGAGGCCCCTTTGTGGCGTGTCAGAGTCTGGGTCTGAGGGAGTCGGGGGAGGCTCTTGTCTGCTTGTTTGGCGAGCCTGTACGCCTCGTGCGCAATACGTGTGTTCCGCGTGTGCGATTGCTCCCTCGTCCGTGCGAAGCTGACCTGCACGACGGGTACTCGAGATCGAGGCAGATCTCGGTGATGACGATCAGCATGTCCAACACGAGCAGAAGGATGAAAAAGAGCTGCACGCGGTGGCTATGCAGCAGGTGCAGGCACCGGCGCTGCCAGGAATCTGCCCCGTGCTCGGCGTGCGCTTTCTCCACCTCCGCGCGCGCGGAGAGCAGCTGCGCCTTGAGCGGCTTCCCAAAGGCCCTCGCCCCGTACCTGGTCTTTGGCGAGGTGACTTCTGACGCCCCCGCCGCCTCAAGCGCGTCCATTGCTGCGTAGACCGCTTGCCTCTTGGCCCGGAGTGTGTTTTCCCTCGGATTAGCCTTCAGTTTCCTCTCTAGCTTCTCGGGCGAGTGGACTTCCTTTACTCGTCCACCTTCCAATCGGCTAGTCGGCGGCGGCTGCAGCGTCTGGATCTCCGCCATCGCAAAGAGAGGGATGATGAGCGCTCACGGTCGCTAAGCCATATCCAGAGGCCCGGAAACGGTTGAGGTGATCCGTGTCCGGGCGCGGGGGCGGGCCTCCTCGCATTTACGCGATTTTTGAGATCGCTGTGATGCCCCGAGGTCTCGAGAGCCTACAATGCGATGCGAGTTAATGCGCAGTTCTTCTCTGCACTATAGCCCTTGAGAAAAAGCTCGCATTATGCAAACCTGTGCCTGTGTCCTAGGAAGTAGACTGGGAGGGGTACTCCCAAAGGCAAGAGGAGGTCTGGAGAGGCCCACAGCGGTCAGGAGAGGCCCCAAGAGGGTGCTAGATGAGAGTCAGCAGAGCGCGCCGTCTCGGCGGCTATGGGCAAGTGGGCTGAGAGACCAGAGGGATTTTATTCTCGGCCGGAAGTGCGCGGCTTAACTTCTAATAAATTGTGCCAGGTGTATCCGGGGGCGGGCAGCACGGAACCGATTTTTATTCGGCGCAGACCTTAGCTTCCTGAGTCACCAGAAAATCCCAACGATCCTTGAGCGGAGGCCGCCTTAGCCACTTTTCCGGCCTCTCCGGAGAATCAGAGAGAATGGCTACCAAAGCCCAGCATGGCACCCGCGGGCAAAGCTGCCCCCAGGTCCCTAGAGCCCATGGGCATTCCCAAAGGATATGTCAGCGTGAGGTGAGGGCGCAACGGTGGGGGCTCTCACCAGCCCCTCAAAGTCGGGGCTCTCGGGAGGCGGTCAGAGGGGCGGGCAAGGGCACGTGGGAGAAGGGTCAGTGCGGCCCACAAGGTGTGAGCTACCCCCTCTCCTAGGTGTGGCTCTACAGCCCCTGAGACCCCCTAGGCTGGGCACCATCAGCTTGGGCAGAGGTCCTCGGGGTGGGGAGAGAGGGAGCTCCCCTTTTCAGCCCCCCCCAACCGCGCATTAACTCGCATCCCATTGTACTAAGAAAATTTTATACGGAATACGTCGCTTTTGGAATACGTTGGGAAAGTTTTTGGAATACGTATTCCACCTCCCCCACCTCAGCACATCTCCGCTGTCGCGCGCCGCGTGCTCGCGCAGCCGGTCTGCGCGTCGGCGGCCGAGCGCAACAGGTCCGTCTACGGGGCAATCAAGACGACGGCGCGCGGGCAAATGGGCCACGCCGTCGCCGACAAGCGCGTCTACTGCCACGAGGCGTTCCACCTCAAGGGCAAGCTTCAGACCGCCGGCTACAAGCAGGCGGTCGAGAAGTGGGACACCGACTCCGACTCGGACAGCTCGGACGAGGAGGACCTCAAGATGTGAGGCAAGCGCGGCGGCGGCAGGGGCGGTGTGGGGGGGTGGGCGGTGGGGACGCTGCTGTGAGCACGTCGGACGCCACGCGCGGGACCTCCTTACGGTGCGCGCCGCGCACGCACGCGCGCGGCTCGCACGCACGCGCGCGTGCGCGTACAGTCTTTCTTATAGCTTATACACAGTCGGCACGCGCGTTCCACGCGTGCCCCGCTGAATACAAATACTACCCATTCTAGAGCTGTTTTGGAATACGTGGAATACGTATTCACAGAGTAGGCTCGAGAGAGCTTGGAGTCTTAAGGATCGTCCGCGGTAGCAGAGAGGATGGGGGTTCGGGCTCTCTTACTCTGCCTTCGCCCGCCCACGACGGCAGGGCCTCGGTCGGTACTCGATCGAGTATATCAACAGGTTCTGGCGAGCAGCGAGCGCGGAGAAGTGTGCGACTGTGCGGCGGCGCCGGTGAGAGATGTTGTGTTGGCGTTCTCACTCCAAGCGCCGCGATCTACATGCCGCATTTGATTTCACGAGCAAATTCATGAAAAACCACAGCTGAAGCACGGGCTCAGCCCGACGCCGCGCTCTATCAAGCTCCGAGTGTGGTCGGGACCAGCCAGCATGCTCGTGAAGGCAGCCTGGCTCCTCCTCGTCGCTGCCGCGAGCGCAGATGTTTACATGCACACCCTGCGCGGCTCCAACAACCGGCTCGACGAGGGCGACGGCAACGCCAACAACCAGAATCGCCTCTTCGACTCACAGAATAATGCGGCGGCGAGTTCGGCTCTCGCTCGCTCCAAGCCTGTCTGCACCCACACTCACCCAGCTGCGCGTTGCTAGGGTGGATACGGCTACGGCGGCTCTGCACAGAACCCGGCCGAACCGCTGCGCTTCATCTGCGGCTCTGAAATTGCACGCACCGCACCTGATGCGTCTAGCACCTGATGCGCATGTGGACACCGGGTCTCACCTAGCATCGCCGCCCCGACGTCCGATCAGGTTCTCAAGTGGACGACCCAGCACTCGTGCGGATCCGAGAACGCCGAGTGCCAGATCGTCATTCAGTGGATGTTCAACGACGACGACTCCACGCCTGCTGGGCTGCCTCCCGCGCCCGACGGAGTCGGAGAGGGGCCGCTTCGCGACGGAACCGACGGCAATACGCAGAACGTCAACGCGCCGCTCCTGATCCGAGGCCTACATGAGCCGCTCTCCTACTATCGCATGTGCGAGGATCGGAAGCGGAACGGTGGCTTGTACGCCGCAGACCAGGACATCGACAACGACAACACCGAAGCAGACGAGACTCGGCAAAACCCAGACGGCACGAGGTACGGGTACGAGTGCCCCGAGGAGCGTGACTACTATCCGTACTGGCACCCCTCCCCATGGCGCGACATTGCGGTCCTGACCAACAACCTCGAGATGCAGCCCTTCTACGAAGCCAACTCGCAGAACGTCGCCGAGAAGAACTACTGCGCGGGTGAGTCGAGCAACCCGGAGCGCTGGAGCAACGGCATTCGCGAGGCCAACTCGGCGAGGCGCTGCGGCGAGGCTGGCGGAGATTGGGTGGCAGCAGAGCCCTTTGGCACCGATACCGTCCAGGTCCTTCCCATCCTCGCGTTCCAGCGGGACAACCACCTGGGCAACCTCGACACGGGCTACGAAGCAAACTACACGTGGACCGTCCCGTGCGGCATGGGCCCCGGCGGCTCGGACACGATCGAGAACGCCGTGGTGCGCATTCGGTACAACATCACCACGGCCGACACTCGTGTCTGCGCGGCGCCGCAGTACAAGACGCGGCAGGAGTGCAACGAGGCGGGCTACATTTGGTCGGCCTTCCACCTGACGGCGGACTATAACGACGACGATCTCGACAGCGACCCGCCGCTGCCGGAGCAGGACCCTTACGTCTCGATGAATGGGTTTCTGCGCGGCACCGGCGGCGTCGACTCGCTGCTGCAGCTCGCAATGAACACAAATCAATTTGGCCGTACGTTCCAGGACCGCTCCCACCGCTTCTCGATCCAACCACGCCCTGCGGGAGTGCCAGCTGAGGCGCGGATCCACAACCTCGGCGTCAAGGGCAAGCGCGGCAACATCGTGCAGGCGTATCCCGCGACGGAGTACGACTGGGACGGGCCAGAAGAGGCTCGCAGCGCCTGCAGCACCCGCGCGCACTCTCTGACTCCCCCTCTGAGTCTCAGTCTCCCCCTCATACGTGCGCCCACTCCCCGCGGTGCCTGCCTGGGTGTGTGCTTCAGATGGACGCGGCGGACTTCATCCACGTGCACTGGACCGGGAACGACAAGACGAACGGCGCGGGCGAGGGCAAGGAGGGCACGGATAGGCACAACCTCGTCGAGATCGACACGCTCGGACACAACGTGCCCGTCGACCCTCGCTCGCCCGACTCGATGTTCAATGTCAACGCGGAGATCAACCTGGAGCCGTCCTCCTCGCCCTTTGGCGGTGCACGCAGCCAGGCAGAGCTCGCGCACCAGTTTGCGCTGTCCAAGCAGCAGGCGTCCTACCGCAACCGCACGGTGCATGTCCTGCGCAGCCCGCTGCTAAGCCCCACCCCCCGCGCCTTGCCCGCGACAGAACTGCGCCGTCTCGCTCAACGAGAACCTCAACGACCAGGCAAAGGACAATTGCGCCAAGCTCAACCGCGCGGAGGCCACGGTCGACCTCGGCCTCATCCAGCCAAAGCCAAACGAGGACGGTAGCCGCAAGTGCTACAAGTTCATGAGCAGCCGCAACAACAACTTCAGCAACCGGCGGCAGGTTGCCACCCTCTGCGTCACGGACGGGGAGAAGTTCCCGCCACAGCCCCTTCCTCCGGGCGATGTCGCGGTGCAAAAGGCCGCGCGCAGGCGGCTGCAGGATGCCGGCGACGGCGGCGGTGCCGAGGTGATTGTGTCGTGGATGTCGGCGCACCAGGCGCTGGCCACGGGCACTGACCTCAAGCCCTACCTCGTCAACAAGGGCGCGGCTGCCCACGCGGGCGGCTACCACAACCCAGTCGCGAGCAACTTCTCTGTCGAATACTCGGTTGACGGCTCCAGCTGGGCCGAGGCCCCCACGGCCTGCTCGCTGTCGCCCTGCACCGTCTCGGGCATCCCAGACGCGGGCATGGTGGCCTTCCGGGTTCGCGCCTACAGCGACGCTGGCGTCGGATCGGACCCGTCCCCCGTCGTGGTGCTGCGCATCGAGCCTCTCGAATCCTCGCCGCCGTCGCCGCCGCCGTCGCCGTCGCCGAGCCCGCCGCCGAGCCCGTCGCCCCTCCCGCCGCCGCCCGCACCCGGACTCCCTCCGGGCGCAACTGCGCCGCCCCCGAACCCGACTGCACCGCCCCCGAACCCGGCTGCGCCACCGCCCCCGGGCGCCCAGGCGGCTGAGCCCCCGAGCGCGGTGCAGCCGCCACTCGATGCTCCCCCCGGCCCGCCGGCAGCGCCTGGCACCAACACGAGCAGCGACGGCTATGGAGGCGGCACGAGCCTGACGGCCCTGTCGGCGTGCGGGCCCGGAGAGGAGCTGTCCACGGAGGCCATAATGATTGCGATCGGAGGCGGCGTCGCCCTCGCCGTGCTGCTCATCGCCGCCGCGGTGGCCGCCTACTACTGCTGCCGCCGCAGGCCCGCCACGGCAAAGACGGCACCAAAGACGACCCTTGAGCAGACCTACAACGTGGGCAAGCAGTACTCGGGCGACATCTAGAAGGGCTGCGTGGCGCCGGGCGCCGCCGCGGTGAAGGTGGGTACAGCAATTGGCAGCTTCCCGGCCGGGCCGTGGCGTGCAGCTGAGGAAGGTGGAGTCCGCAGACGCGACAGATTCTCTTTTGCCGGATGCTGCGGTCTCGGCGACCGCAGCGTTCTTCGCGCTGTCGAGTAAGTAAGATAAGCTCACTCTGATGTTGACTGTTGCGACTTTGCGGTGTGATAGCACTCCTCCCGACACACACACGTGTTGAATACCAATTAGGTCAAGCCAAACCGTAGATACTGATGTGTGCCACCGTCGCAGGAGCGGGAAGGACCTCAAAACTCTCTCCATGCTAAAGCCGTACAGTGTAAAAAGATAAGTGTACACAACTCATAAGCGGCGCTCCTGTCCAGCCGTAGAGTACCCATGACGATCGGCTGGCGACCCGTCAGGGTCGCCAGTTGACTCTTCTATTGTTGGTCGTGACGACCATGTAGATCGGTTATCTACAAGTTCGCCAAAGCCTCGCCATACTCCCCCGCCGGTCATGGTCGAGGGAAGCTCTCTCCGTAGCCCGATACCAATCATCCGGCTTCCCCGGGTTCACCGCCACACCGGCCGCTGGGGGCGTTTACTTAGCAATCACTTACCAAAGGGAGGGAATTCACTTTCTCACTGGCTCGCGGGCACACGGTCTGGAAGAAAGATCTCTCAATCATAGTCTGTCTCACAGCGTAAGGACGCGGCGTGCATATGGGACGCGAAGCCTGACTCGCACGTACTAGCCGCAGACAGCGCTGCTTCGCAGCACACACTGTTTCCCCGTCGCCTCCCCCGTGCCCGGCTGCAGCCCGCCGACGCGGCCTGGCGCCCACGCGGTGGCGGCGACGACCGCGACGAACTTGCTGAAGTCGTTCCAGCTGGGCCGCTTGTTCGGGTTGCTCGTGAAGAAGGCGTCCTCCGCCTGGCTCTCGCTGTACGGCACCTTGCTGTGCCGCTTGATGCCCGGCGGGAGCTTGACCTGCGGGACACACGCGAGAGCAGGTCTCTCACCGCTTGTGTGACGGGTAGAGGCGGGCCAGGGCTGTCCCACAAATCTCCACGTCCTGGGACACAGGAGCCCCACGGCACTTCAAGTGCGCGTGGGTGAGGCGCGCGCGTGTTTGTGTGTGTGTGCCCCACCTTGCCGCAGTTTGCGTGAAAAGCGCCCGCGAAGAGCCCCTCGCTCGTGGGCTGCTGAGCCTGTGAACGAATGAATAGGTGAGCGAATTAACTGATTGAGGACAGCCTCGCCCGTCGGCCGCGGGACCGCCGGCGCCGCGCCCTGCGCCTCGCCGCACTCCCAGGCCGCGCTGTCGAAGCGGCAGCCGTAGAAGTTCGCGCAGTGGTTCAGGTTCCAGCCGAGGGAGAGGTGCTTGAACGCCTGAAGAAGAAATACAGGGCGGGTATTCGTTTCTAGTTCCATCCCCCGAGGGAGACGGGGCTTACTCGCCTCCGGCCGCTGCTTGAGCGCCAAGTGGACGACGCCCTGGTTGGAGACGCGCCTGACGGATCAACGAGGAGTCAACTATTGATGACGAAGCGGCGAGGTGGCCCGCCGCCCTGCTTGGAGACGCGCATCTTGCTGTGGTCCCCACGCTTCCTTTCGTCGACAGCGTTCCAGCCGTCGCGCACCATCGCCTCCCACGCGCCCGCGCGCATGCGGCCGAGGTGGAGAAGGTTGACGCAAGTGCACATGTCCGTGTCCTGGATGGTCCTGGCGACCTTCGCGCCCAAAGTGCCTCCGTTGCTCTCCGCCTCCCTCACTTGCGCGCGGACAACCGCGGCGGACGGCGGCGGTGTGTGCACGTGCAGGAGGGGGAGCTGCATCAGCGTCTTTGGCCCAAAGGCGTCGAAGCGGCGCCAGAGCTGCGCCACGTCGGCGAGGAGGAGCATGTCGGTGTCGATAAGAATGCAACGGTCGACCGACGGCAGCAGCCGGTGCAGGAACGTCTTGGCCGCGCCTGGTCTCGAGCAATCTCGGGTGAGCTCGGGCCATCTCGGCAGCAGCGGGTTCAGGAACGTCTTGGCCGCGCCCCAAGCGCCCGTGTGGTGCGAGGAGGCGTTGTAGCCTGGCATAGCCTGCGCGACCATCGCCTGGACCTTGTCCGCCGCGATGACCGTCACGTCGCTGCTTTGCCTATATCTCGGGTGATCTCGAGTGAGATCTCACGAGGTATAGCCGCGATGACCGCCACTCGCTGCTTTGCCACGCGGCGCGCGAGCGGTGCAGCAGCGCGCGGACGGCCGCGTGCGTGTGGGACGAGACGACGACGTGCAGCGCGATCGCCGCTCTGCTCGTCGCCCTCGCCGAGCGCAGCATCAGGTCGAGCTCGTCGACGGCGCTCACCTTGCCGGCGGCCATGGCGCACAAGTGCACTACCTCCTCCTTCGCAGCCTCCGCCCCCGCCGTCGCCGCCAACACAGCCGTGTCCCCCTCGAGAGCTGTCGGCCCCTGCAGCAGCCGCCGCCCGTGCGCATCTCTCATCACGTGCCCGAACGCCTGCGCCTTCTTGACGTTGGCGCGCGCCTCCGCCCGAGCCCGCCCCCCTGCGCTCACCGCCCGCTCCCAGCCCCCTCCTGGGGGCGGGCGGTGAGCCCGCCCCTTCTCGTCAACGCCGTACTTCTTGCGCAGAGCGCCCGGCGACAGCGCGTGAGCGCGAGCTGCTCGCGGGCTAGCGCCTGGATGCCGCGGGACAGCAGCGCCCGCCGCCGCCGGGTGAACAGCGCCCGGTGACGGCGCGCCGTCTGTCGAGGCTTGCTGCAAGCCCCGCACCGTGCCTAACGAGGCGTCGGCGTCGGTGTGGTGCTTCGCCTTGGCGTGATGGTGCGAGGCGTCGGCGTCGCTGCCTCGCCGGCGCGGCTCGGTGAAGTTGATGCTCACGAGCAGCGGCGGCGGGCCTAGAGGAGCGGAGATTACCCGAGATGAGCCGAGGCGACGTTGCTGCTCACGGGCAGCGGCGGCGGCGCGGCGCCCGGCGCAGGCGAGAGCGTCAGAGGGGCGCCGGCAGGCACAAAGAGCGTGCCTGGGGGGGGGGGGGGGCGTGGACGTGTCGAGGACAAGTCGCGGACCACGCATCGCCGCGCGGCGGAACAAAGAGCGTACCTGGCGCGGTGAGAGTGCGCATCTTGCCGTCGGCGCCGCCGTAGAGCACCTCGCCCCTCGTCGCCAGCAGGAGCTGGTCGTGGCCTGCGCCGGCGGTTGAGCCGTGCGGTCCGCGCAGCTCGCCGCCGGAGACGGAGAGATGCAGAGAGCTCGAGTGGCGGAGGCGGGTAGGCTGCCCCGCCTCAGCGAGGTCGCTCTCGGCCGTGTCGGAGCGGCGCCACACCACCACGCTGTCCGTCTCCCGCTCCTCCACCGACACCGGCTGGTTGCCGAGGAAGCGAATCGCGAGGTAGACCGCCTGCGCGTGTACCGACGGAGAGGAGAGGATGATTGAGAGAGCAGCCATGCTGATGATGATGATGTGTCACAGTGTCTAAGAAGAGCATTCGCCCGCCTGCGCGTGCTCGACGGAGAGCAAAGAGTGCGGCTGCCAGCCGGGATAGTAGGCGAGGTCGCCCGCGTCGAGAGTGCGCCTATCATTAATTAACGGCTGATCATTGGTGAGCATTGGTTCAAGGCGGGGTAGGCGAGGCCGCGTCGAGAGTGCGCCGGTAGAGCGTCTTAGTGTGCTCTCCGCGCTGCTTGAGCGAGATGAGGATCGAGCCTCGCAGCACGTAGACCAGCTCGATCTCCTCGTGGGTCCGCATCTCGTGCGCGGCAAAGTTCTTGCGCAGCTTCGACGTGTGGTACTCCATGATTGGCGCACCCGCCGAGTGGCCGGTCAGCTGGTGCGTCTTGCACTTTGACTTGTCGACGATGCCCGCGCCCGCGTCGACGCCGCTCTTGAGCTTGCAGAGCTTGTCCACCCACCCGCCCGCATTGAGGTCGTGCGCCAGCGACTTGAGCGGCGTGTCGGGCGCGAAAGTCGCGGCGGCGCAATCTCTCTTGCGCTTCGGCGTCCGGTCGAACGTCGCGTCGACGACGGCCGGCTCAGGCTCGTCGGGGAACATCCAGTTGTTCTGCGTCGCCTGCAGGCAGGACAGTTCCGAGAAGGGTCGGGGAGGAGGGCCCGGCTGCAGCGCCATCCCGTGTGGCTGTGCGCTGTCGGCCTCCTCGCCCGAGCCTCGCAGCGTGGCCGACGCCTATCGTGACGATCGACTCCTCTGTAACCCCCTCTCCTGATTGACGAATCTCACAGCCTCTCGCGGCGTGGGCGGCGCCTTGCCCTGCAGAGGGATCACCGGCGGCAGCACCACCCCGATGCCCGGCGGGCGCTGGCGCTCGGACGTCGGCAGCTCCGGCGCGTTCTCGAGGCCGCTGTCAGACCTGCAGTCATGATCTCGGCTGTCTCTCGGCTGTCTCTCGGCCGTCTCTCGGCTGTCTCTCGGCTGTTTCTCGGCTGTCTCTCGGCTGTATCGCTGTTGCATCTCGAGGCCGCCGACCGGAACTTGCAGCGCGTCGGCATGAAGTGCATCTGCACCGCCGTCCGCGTCTTGCGGCTGGACGCGTTGTTGAAGGAGGCGTGCCACGTGGCTCCGCGGAAAGCCCACGCCTGACGGCGAAACACACGGATGGAGACGGCAAAGCACTGCACGAGATGGAGAGTGGGGTGCGTGGATCCCCGCCCCGGTGTGAGGCATCGGTTGAGGACTGCAATGGCGACGGATGCGTGTGTGCGTGTGTGCGCGTGTGCGTGCGTGCGTGTGCGCGTGCGTGTGCACGTGTGCCTGAGTGTCGGCGGCCGCCAGCTGCACCAGAGCAGCGTGCGGCGACACCTCCCTCCGAGCCACCTGCAAGAGAAAGTGGCGGAGCGGAGGTCTTGTGGGGAGAGAGAGGCCGCCTTGACGAGCTCGCCGAGGTGTAGCCGAAGTACAGCCGCGAGGTCAGCCGAGGTCTAGCCGAGGTCTAGCCGAGGTCTAGCGGAGATCTCGGCGCCTTGGCGAGCTGGCCGCCGCGCCGCCAGAGCGAGGAGAAGTCGCCGCCCTCGCACACCTGAGAGTGAGGCACGGGCGGAGGAACCGGTTCTTGCTGTCAGAGGGCGTGGGGGAGGAGGAGCCGCCCTCGCGCACACCTTGCACTGCTTGTGCAGCTTCGCCTGCGGAGTACAGGCAGGCGTGTGTGGGAGGGAGGGAGGGAGGGAGCGGAGCGAGGGAGCGGAGGGAGGGAGGCAGCATGAGAGGGAGTGAGGGGTAGAGAGCTTGCCCGCGCCTGCGCAAAGTCTCTCGCGCCGTGCGAGTGTGAGACCATGAGCATCGAGGAGTCGGGGGCGGCGCCTGTGGGGCGGCGGAGGGGGGAGGGTGGAGGCGGCGAGGGAGGCGAGGGCAAGGTTGAGGGCGGTGGCGGCGTGGGGCCGGCGGAGAGCGGGAAGTGGGCGGCGGCATGGGAGGCGGCGGCGGCGAGGTGGCGGCGGCGGCGGCGGCGGCGATGGCGGCGGCGAGTGGAGGGGCAAAGGGGCGGCGTGAGGGGCGGCGGTGCCGTCGAGCGGCAGCCAGACGGTCCAGCTCGTGTCGTTGCAGCGAGTCCGGTCGATCGCGTTCTCCACGTCCGTGTGCCACCGGTGCTCCCACCCCACCTCCTTGACCAGCACCGACATCGTCGCGACCATAAGGTCGTCTGTCCCAATGACGGCCCGCATCTCGCGGAGGAGCGCGGGCTGCATCGCGAGCGCGCGGCACGCGGGAACGTGCGCGTGGGCCGACTTTGGGTACGGATGCGCGATCAGCCCGAGCGACTTCCACTTCTTCTGCACATGCTCCCAGCCCGCGACGCACTCCCTCCATCCGTCCGTCGAGAGCGGAAACGGTCCGTGAATCCCACTCGTCGTGTCACCAGCGCTCGTTTCCAGGTCGGTGGCGCGCGAGAGGAGTTGCGCTAACTGCGGCTTGGCTGCTGTCGTGGCGACGAGCACCGCGGCGGTCAGCATCGAATCGATAAGCAGCAGCCGCGCGCCGTGCACAGCGCCTTCCCGGTGTTGAATAAACCACATGGTGTCCAGTCCGAGCCGACTGTTCTTCACCTTCCTACCAACCTCGTGTAGAGAGATGTCCCTGTTGAGTAGGGTGCGAGACGCGCGAGTCGAGATTCTTTCCTAGAGGGAATGTGTCCTGGACGGCGTGCGTCCTTCATTGTCTAGTCGGCCGACAGCGTGTCCCTTTCAGCATGGTGATCTTGGTTTGATCGTTCCTGTACGCCTCGGTACAGACCCTCGCTCCGTGTACAGCTCACAGCTCACTACATTTACGGAGGGTGTACCCTACCAGTGCGCGCCAGTTCCGTGCCCAGTGCTGTGCGAGTGAGCTTTTGGTTCTAAAATCCTCAGGATCGCTTAGGCGGCTCCCGTGGTGTGTACCTGTTTAGGCTTTAGTGCCAGTGCGCGCCAGTCCCATGCCTGTGTCGCGAGAGAGAGTTTTGTTGAAAAATTCTAAAAGTATCCTTTCGTGGGTCTCGCAAAAAGAATCGCAAGGGCCGTGCGGGCCGGGATCACTTTTGACTCGAGGCACTTGAGCACACTGGGATAGGGTCGATTCCGCGTAATACGGGACCCCTCCGCCCTCGATCGTCTCGCCCTCCCTCGCTGGTGTGTGTTTTTGGGGGGGGGGGGGGGGGGGGTCCTTCCTCTTGTAGTTTGTGTGTTGTTTGCCAGTGGTGCGCGCCGTTTTGACCGCACCAGTATTGAGTAAAAATCTCAACAACAACGCGCGAACCGCAGCTCGTCTGAGACTCATAGAGAGTACAGTAGGAGAGCGAGACTCACAAGCCGCGAGCGCGGCGGTCGCGTCGCCGCACCTGGCTCGGCTCCTGCAGCGCACCCAGAGCGACGCCCAGGTAGTACACGGCCGCTCTCGCGCTGGGGCCCTTGTCGGCGGCGAGGCCGGCGCGCCGCCGCGCCACACGCAGTAGTGCGCAGGGCGACTGCAGCTCGAGAAGGTCCGAGCCAAGGGAGGGTGTCAGTCGGATGGAGCCGCTCGTGGTGATGTCGGCCGACGTGAGTACGCCCTTGATGCAGACTGAGAGCGCCATCTGACCGGGGTGTACCGCCTGCGACTCAAGCATTGGCCGCAGCCCGCAAGGCGGGTGGCAGCGGCAAGCGCGCTGCTCCTCCTCCCGCTCAGCCCTCTCGAGCAGTGCCGGGTCCTCCGCAGCAGCCCTCGGCGCCTTGCTCGCGCGGGATGAAGTCGCGGCCTGTCGCTTCCGTGCGGGAATTGAGCGCTCGAGGAGGTGCGAGTCATGCAGCGCCTCTCGGAGCTGGACGGCGGCGGCGCGGCCGGGCGACAAGGGTGGCTGGCGTCCGGCGGCGCGGCCGGGCGACGAGGGGCGTGGGGCGCGCCCGTCAGTAGTCGTGCAGTCGGCGGCCGCCACCGCGCCCAGCGCGCGGTCATCACTGGTGGCGGCTTTTCGGATCAGGTCGAGCGGCAGGCCCTTGTAGCAGACAACCTTCCAGCTGCCCCCTTCCACCGATGTCGCGCTCAGTCGGGGGCGGAGGAAGCGGACGAACCCGCCGGGCGACCGGAACTGCTGCGGTGCGCCGCCATCGGCCGGCAGGTGTAGGATTGTGCCGTCGTCGAGCAGGTCGGCGAGAACAACCTCCCCCGAGGCGTCCTTGACCGAGATGGCCGCCGGCGCGGCCTCCAAGAGCTGGTGCGCCATCATCGCGCTGAGGGAGCTGAGCGAGAGCGAGGGGGGGCACTCGCGAGCACGCGGGGAGTGGACCGCTGCAGGGCCGGGGCTGCGGACGAGCCGCGTTTCCACGTCCGTATCCCGGCGAAGCGCAGGCAGGCTCTTGTACGCAGCCGCCACCACCTCCGCGAGAGTGCGGCGCCCCCCAAGCGCGTTCGTGACGAGCCGCAGGTCCGAGCCGCCGAATCGGCCCTGACTGGCGCCGAGCTCGTCAATCTCCGCCGAGCTCCAAAGCCTGGCCGCCGCCGTCGCCTCCTCGAGCGGGAGCGTGGCCAGCGCCGCGGCCTCGTCTCCACCGCACGAGAAGAGGGCCGTCAAGGCAGCCTCCTCCCACACACCTCGCAGGCGAGAATCGGAGAGCAGACTCGCGGCGCGTGCGAGGTACCCCTCGAGCGGCGGCTCACTCGACTCACTCGACTCGAGGGCCGGGTCCCACACGCACGTGCCCGCGCAGCTCGACGCCGCGCTGCCGAAAGCAGGCAGCTCCGCGGCACCGTCCGGGTCCTGCCATGGTCGATCTGCCGAGCTGTCGCTGTCGACACTGGCCGGAGAGGAGTTGCGGTCGGAGGGGACGGAATAGATCGGCAAGCCCTCCAGCGTCACCGGCTTGGACTCGGCGGGAAACTGCAGCGATCAGAGGGCGGATGAGGGGGGCTTGGCGGCAGGGGTTGCGCGCGCAGAGGAAATGGGTTGTTGCAGCTCAGGGGGTGCCCGTGGAGAATGAATATATAGCGGGTGGGGCGTGTATCGCGCATGTCTGCCGCTGATCTCGCGGGTACTCGCCGTTTCAGGGTGTCGGAGGGCCATCCCACACAGTGTCGCAGCGCGTCGATTGGCGTTCGCTGTCTGCGGCAATGCAGGAGGCGTTCGACCGCGCGCGCGTTGGCCGGGGCGTTTAGCGAGCGAGCCCGAGGTGGGCGCGGACCGTGAACGGAGCGCCCGGGCGAGCGGAAGTCTCGCGAGTGTGGATGATTGAGGCCACGGCCAAAGGGCTTTGGGCTCTGGACCGCTGACGGCGTGCGGTTAGGCTGAAAAGTCAGGATCAAACTTGAGCCGTGAAATTCGATGTAACGGCGTCTGATATTTTGTTTTAGGCGTCTGATATGGCGTCGAATGCTCGGGAGGTCGCGAAAATTCTTTTTCCGCCTTGGCAGCAGCCGGCGCTGGTCCCTTCCGCGTCGAGCCGGAGTAGCCGATTGCATATGCCAAGCAGACTCGCCGCGGCGTGCGCGAGCGCTGCCATTGTTGACACACGCACGCCCGCATCCTACGTTTCGGCGCACCTATCCGGTTCCTCCTCCTTCCCGCTCGCCGAACTGCCGGAGCGGAGCGGAGAGCTGCCGCCCGCGACCGCAGGCGGCGTGTGGGTGCTGGCAGAGGCGGACGAGCTCACGGCGTCGCTAGCCTTTCTCGGCGGCGGCGGTGGCGGCGCCAAGGCGGCCGGCTGGCGCATCCTCGGCTCGCTGACCTCGACGGCCGCGCTGTGGGACGCCGCGGCGGCGGCAGGGCTGGTTGAGCGTGGGGCGGTGTCGCGGCGCCTCTGGTCGCCCTCTCCGCACCTGCCTCGCGTCGCGAGCCTGCTCGAGTCTGCTGAGGCTGTGGCGGGCGAGGCTGCGGAGGATGCAGTGGCGGAGGCGCAGGCAGAGGCGGCGGCGGTGGCGGTGGCGGAGGCGGAGGCGGAGGCGGAGGCGGAGGCGGAGGCGGAGGTGAGGGAGGCGGCGAGTACGGCGGCGATGGCGGAGGAGGTGGCGGAGGAGGTGGCGGTGGCGGTGGCAGAGGCCGCCGCACCGCCCCGTGCAGTCGACCTCGGCTGCGGCAAGGGCCGCGACGCCGTCTACTTGGCGTCGCGCGGCTGGAGCGTGCTCGCCGTCGACAGGCAACGCGCCTCCTCGAGCCGTCTCGGAGCCGTCCCGGAACTGCCCTACAGGAGCGTGCTCGCCGTCGACAACCAGCGCGCCTTTCTTGACCACGTCCAGGCGAGATGCAGCCGAGATGCAGCCGAGATGCAGCCGAGATGCAGCCGAGATGCGGCCGAGATGCGGCTGAGATATGGCCGTGAGGTTGCCGAGAGATTGCCCCTCTTGACCACGTCCAGGCGTTTGCTGCGCGGCAGGGCCTCTCCTCACGCGTGGCTGTCGCGTGCGTCGATTTGCGCACGCACAGGCCGGGCTGTGTTCCGCGGCTGCTGCAAGAATGACAATGTAGTAGCAAGCAAACACGGTGAGCACGCACAGGCCGGGCTGTGTTCCGCGGCTGCGCGAGCTGCTGGCGCCGCTGCGCCGTGAGCCCTCTCGGAACATTCTCGGACCCCTCCCGGAATCTTCCTCGGAGCCTCCCTGTAGGCGCCTCCGCTGCAGCTGGTGTCGCTCGCGCGCTTCCTGAGCCGCTCACTCCTGGACGAGGTGGCGCATCTCGGCGCATCTCGGCGCATCTCGGCGAATCTCGTCGAATCTCGGCGAATCTCGGTGCACCTCAGCCGTTCGCTCCTGGACGGGTGGTTGCGCTGATGCCGGTCGGCTGGACGACCGCCAGGACACGTCCATGACATGTCCGGGACATGTCCCGCAGGTGGTCGCGCTGATGCCGCTCGGCTGCTGCGTCGCGGTGCACCACTTTGGCGCAGGCCGCCATCTCGCCTCGAGAAGCGGCCAGGCCCAACCCACTGCTTCCTCCTCGGACTCGTTACCTGTGGGCTGGCTTCAGGCGCCGTCTCGCTCAAGAGCGGCCGGCCAATCAAGGTCCCTCCCACCCCCCCCAACCACGTCGCCTTCCCCCTCCCCTCCCCCTCCCCCTCCGTCTCCGCCCCCTCCCTCGCCCCTGCCTTCATCCTCGCCTCGAGCGCAGCCCACCAGGGTTTGCGTAGCGCGGCGGAGGCTCTGACCCGTCCCTCGCCTGGCTGCAGGGCGGCAACCCGGACTCGTGCGGCCTCGCGGCTGGCGAGCTCGCGGCGAGGTGTGAGATTCGCACAGATTCGCACAGATTCGCACAGATTCGCACAGATTCGCACAGATTCGCACAGATTCGCCGACACGCACCCGCTCTCACCCTCCGCGCGTATGGATGCCGTGGGGCTCCTGTCTATGGGCGTGGAGATGGCGGGGGGGCTGCCTGGCCCTCGCCCCACCATCGTGTGCGTGTGTGGAGAAGCTTCGCGCTCCTTCGAACGCGCATGGCGAGGAAGACGAACACAGGCTGGAGAGGCGTTATTGCTCAAAAGGTACGCGGGCGCGCTGCGTGTGCTGCTGGATGAGGAGAGCAGACGCGTCGAGGGCGGCCGCGCACTGCGGCGGAGGAAAAGCCTGTCACTCGTTGCTCCTCTCAGGAGAGCCGCAGCGTCGAAGGGCGGCCGCTGCTCAGCTTCGTCGCGCGGAAGGAGTCGGGCGGGGAGGCGGTACGGGCGGGGGCACAGCGCCGTGGAGGAGACGGGGAGGGGGACGGCGCGGGCCGAGGAGCGAGGGCGAGAGGGGCCACGCAGAGCGACTCACAGAGGCTCGCACAGAGGGAGGTGGACGCGGTGTCGTGTCGAGTCGGGGCGCTGGGGGTCGGCTGATAGACCATGGGTGGGGGTGGCTGGCGCGGCGGACGTCGCGAGGAGTCAGCAAGGCAGACAGCTCCTCCATGCAGAGCCTAAGCCCCGCGCTATCCCCGGCCCTTAACCGCGGAGTTTGTCGCATTCCGCTCCAAAACGTCGTCCGCTTTCTCGGCGTAAAATCGTCGCCCTTTTTCCGGCTCCGCACACCTCCCCTCGCGCCTCGGCAGCGCTCGCGCAGTCGCACACGCCCTCGTCGCGTCAAAACACTGGTTGGGTAGTAGTCTAAGTTCTGAGCCTCGAGGCTGAACGGGTCTAAGTGTGGCTAGCCACGCTGGAGTGCTTGCGCGGTCTAAGATCAGCGGGAGCCTCTTACATCGGCTAAGTCGGCCGTGGCACGGCCTGGGGCCAGGAGGCTCCTCCACCGTGATCAACGATACGGCGCAGCCCCCAAATTTTCTTCGCCTGCGGCGGGCTATCGATCCTCTTCATGCTTAGCAATCGCCGCCTCAGCATCCTCCTCTTCCGACTTTCGTTGCTGCTCCTTCATTCTTGAGCGACGTCTAGCCAAACAGTTCTCACATGACACGAAGCTCCTCAAGCTTAATCAAACGTGTGACGGTGAAGGCGTGAAGCCTGTGTGTGCTGGTCCTCTTTGAACGATCCGCGCGTGAGGTAGCATAGGGCCTTGTTGGCAGCAGCCAGCTTGTTGCGCTGCTTCGTTGCGATGAGCTGATTGGGATCGCAGAAGTGCATGCCAAGCACCGCCACGATCTTGAAGCAGAACACATCGCAACCGCATCGTCCGCACTGCCATCGGCATGCCGCGCCCGCCGCTTCGCCGCAGCCGCCTTAAGACACGCATAGCGGCAGCACATGGTACGGTGCGCGTACTTGAGCAGGAGTTGCGCGCCGCAAGTAGCGCACTGGCCCTGGGAGAAGGCGATATGGCGTCGTGCGCGGCATACGTTGGTCGGACGCGTCCAGGTATTTCGGGTAAACCTGGAGGCTTTTCAGGTATACCCGGGTTTTGCCCGGAGTGGCCTTATGTCGTCTAAGTTCATGGCCCCCGACCATACAGCGTCTAAGTCTGAGCCCGGCTCGGTGCGGGGGCTAAGTTGAGCGCTCGCTCGCTGCAGAGGCTAAGTGTAGAGCGACCCTCTAGCCCTACTACCCAACCATTGTCAAAACACCGTCCTGACACCCTCACACGCTCACCGTCATGTGTCGCCCCCTTTTTCGGCTTTTCGGGTGTCCTGATTCAGACGCCCTGAATGCTGAAAAATCTGGCTGCGCGCCGCGCCGAGGAGGTCCGTAAAAAGAAAAACTGGGGCTGGACCCGCTGGAGCCTGGAGGTACATCCCTCGGATCTGAATGCACCTCGGCGCTCGGAGGCACTTCCTCGAGCGAGCACACCACTCACCAGGCTAGCCACCGTCGTGGCAATGCCAATGGGCAAGAAGGGAGTCGGATTTGGCTGAGTCGTGAGTAAGAGATCTTTCAATTTCATCTTAGTTTTTAAGGCAAGTACGTGATAATATGCCCTTATACCCCTGCATTTACATAATAACACTTGTATAATGCTGAGCCTTGCTGGCTTGCACGCTATCTTTGCTATTCCTCGTCTCCGCCCTCGCCATCGCCATCTCCATCGCCGCCATCAGGAGCAACGTACCTGAAGTATAGGGTGAGAACGACGACGCCGACGACAATCAGCAGCGTCACGACCACGCAGCAGCACTTTTTACGCGCTTGCGCCTGGAGGGGCCGTCGAGCGCAGCGGGGGGTCCAGCGGGGGGTCAGGACACACGAGCAATCTCGGGGTGATCTGTGTGGTAAACTGAATCCTCGGCGACAGTAGTGTGTCCCTTGTAGCAACGCCGCGCTCTCCCCGGAGGCTCTCAACCGCAACCCTCTCAGCCGCAATCCCAGGGAGATGAAGACGGGCCGTCTCGGGTCACATCTGTCGCAATCTCGGGCGATCTCCTGGTAGTAAGCCGCGCTGCGGAGCTCGTCGACGGCGCGGCCGGTGTAGTCGACTGACTGGGCCACGGTGTACTCCACCTTAAAAGAGGCGTTTGCACATGATGGATGACTTGCACTGGGACTGATGAACTAGTTCATGGCCGCGCGGTGTCTGCTCTCCCTAACCTTGTTGTGAGTTTGAGGGGGGGGGGGGGGAGGGGGGTAGGGGCGGTGTGCACACTCTCACCTGATCGAGCAGCTCGCCCTGCGCCTCGACGAGCACCTGGCGCCATGTTCCTGGGTGAGCTGGAGCCGGATCGGTGTGAGCGGCGCCGGCGACACCTCTCCGCTGCACACACAAGGGCGAGAGAGGGCCGGCGACCCACCTCTCTCCGCTGTGCCCTCTCCTCTCTCCTGCGGCGGGACCACGCACCGACATGTCGAGGAAGAGCTGGTGCAGCTCGGCGATCGACCTAGAAGGTGAAAAGGGAAGGCACGGTAAACTTCTCCCCACACGCACTCAAGGAGGTGTGGCGTAAGAGGGGGGGGTGGGGGGGAGCCTGGGAGCCATCCACTCACTCATCGCGTCCTTCATCAGAGAGGAACGGTGCAGACGCTCGGCGATTAGATCACACCCCTCGAGCCGGAGCATGTCGCGGTGCCTGTGAGTCGTTGGATCGCACAACCATTCACCGGCTTACTTTGCCGGACGATGTACTAGCCTCCACCCCCTGGAGTGTTCGGAGCATGTCTCTGCCCGCCCACGCATGGGTGTCAATCAGCTGTGCACTTGTGACGTGTCCGGGGGTACGAGCTTGTCGATGTCGCGGCGCCTTTCCTGGATGTCGGAGAGCTCCTGCCTCGCCTGAGGTACAACAGGTACGGGACATCAACGCAAGGTACAAGCAGCGGTACGGTACGGCAAACTCGGCTACAAAGTGGTGAGGCAAGGGGGTGTGGGGGGAGGGGCCCTCGCATCTCCACACCCGCGGACCCTCGCATCTCCACACCCGCTTACAAGGGCACAGCACCCCCCCCCACACGGCATTCAAAGTGCGCAAGGCCCGGTGTGACACGGCCGGTGTGTGCACGTGTCGCCTCGTCGCGCCTGCGCGTGGCCGGGGCCCTGCAGCACCGTCTGCGAGAAGACCTCCTCCTGCCCGCCGCCGTCGAGCGCCTACGCTCAAGGGCAATCTCGGCCGATCTCGCGAGATCTCGGGCAATCTCCCGCCCGCCGCCGCCGTCGCGCCGCATCGATCTCCTCCTGCGAGATTGAGGGCTGCACCATCCTGTGCGAAGAGATTCGCCTGGCTGAGCCGAGATTGGCCGAGATCACGCCCGTGTGGCGGAGGGCGCGGCCATCCTGTACTGCCGCGCCATCCGCTCGCGGTGCTTGGATTTGAACCTCGCCTGCACCTCCTGGTACTCCGCCATCGACTCGACGAACTTGCGGCTGAGCGTCGCGTGCATGTTTGTGCGGATGCGCGCCTCGCTCGCCCCGGGGTTCTTCTTCGCGAAGAGCTTGTTCGCCTACCAAAGAAGTGGGCCGCTGTGAAGAGACGCCGCCTCTGCGTGCCGTCCTCAGCGATGGAGAGCTTGTTTTTGCCGCGTCCATCGCCTTGAGTTGCGCCCGCACCTTCTTGGCGAGCACGTTCATGCCGCCCGACTCCTCCTGTAGCTGCTTCGCGGCCGCTTTGCCCTCCTCCGCGCTGGTGGCGGTGAGCGACTCGCTTTGAAGGGCCTCGATGCGGGCAACGCTGGCGGCCATGGTGCACAGCGCAGCCTTCACGCCATTCACCTCCTCGAAGAATGCAGCCATGAAACCACGAGACGGCTCGCCCATCTCGATGTCGCTGCACTCGCCCCTCAGCTCGTCCATTCGGTCGACCATAGCACCGCAGCGGAGTGAAGAGACGAGCCGGTGAGCAATAGAGGCCGCCTAGCAAAGCAGCCGCCTTGCTCGCCCAAAAAGAAATTGCTGCGGCAGCGGCCTCGGTCCTGGGCGATAGGTTAATGACTGCACTCCAAGTGCTCCAAGTGCAGTTAGCTCCCCGGCCCTGGATGTGAGGTTGATGACTGCACTCCAAGTGCTCCAAGGGCAGTGCAATAGGAATGCAGGGAAGGAATTCCCTGCCCCAGCTTCCATAGCTTTGTCAGGACGGTCAAGACGGGAGGCGAACGCTCGTTCAACCACATCAATCATAGACGACAAACAAAAACGTTCGCGCACCAGGAGCTCGTCAAGGCGCGGGATGTGCACGTCAAGAACAACCCGTCCCTCGGAGACAGCGCCGTCAACAACCGCGAAGCCGCGCGCCTCATCTCCGCCTCAACGCCTTTTTCGCCGGCAAGGCCTTCGATGTCCGTGTCGACGGTACGTACGCCACCGCCCTCTCCTCCGACACCCTCCAGGACGAGCTCCAGCGGAAGCTTGGCCTTTGGCGGCGGCCAAGGTTGCGGCGCTGGAGAAGGCGCTGCAGTCGACGCGCTGAGCTGCGGAGGGGCTGGGGTGGAGGGGTGGCTGCCTCTCGGGTGTGGGCCATGGCGGGCAGTGGGTGGGGGGGGGGGGGGGGGGTAGGGGCGTTCGGTGGGTCCCAGTCCCGCCAACCTCTGGCCCAGGGCAAAGGAGGGGGCGAGGGCTGGTTCCCGGCCCGGTCAGGATGCTCTCCCTACGTCGCCAGTAGGCGCTGGGGCGGGGTGTGTCGAGCCGCACATACACTCTCATGTCTCCATGAGCAGCTCCTCGAGGCCGGCGGCGACAGAGGCGCCCGCAGTGCTCGAGGCGGGAGCGCGGCTGCGCAAGTGGGACACCGTCGCGCTGCGGCAAAAGCAACAACGCGCGGCACCGCGCTCCTCTTCGGTGACCCACAACCCGCTCCACGGCCGCGATGGTGTGCGCGCGGACGCTCTCGCCTCTTATTCGAGCCGCTCTCGAGCGTGCCTTCGCGCTCCGGCCGGCTTCCAACCGCGACAATGTTGATTGACTCTCCGATATACGGCGCTGTCTACTTATCAAAACGACTAACCGCGCAACCGCAAGAGCTCCAAGCCGAGGGACACGAAAAAGACGTATTAAAATCTCTAGAGAATAAAGTGTGAGGCGAGGACCGCACTCCTGGGACCATGTGGAAGACGGCTAGTGCTAGTCCCCCATCGGGAGGACGACCCCGGCTAGTCGCCGACCACACCCACAAAGAACCCTGCACAAAGACCGCAGGGCGGGGACCTGTTCCTTTTATTTATTTATTTCTCCTGCCGCACGCACATCCAACATGCATCATCCAAGCACACGCTCTCTAGCGCAACACTTGACCATGAGCGTGCCATGTTCTGGGTCATAGGACTTGTTGAACTTTCGCACGCTCGTCGAGCTCTCCCACCACAGCGCATCTTCCTTGCCTTGGAAGTGAGATGCCCCCGGCCGAATCGCGTGCGCCTTATCGGTTTGGCAAGGGCAACAGCCTAGAGGGATGCAGCAGCAGGGGCCGATGGCGACGGACCCCTTGTTGGCATCGACACCGTAATAGGTGCAGTAGCAGCAGGGGCAATCCCTCAGGTAGTAGCAGCCGCTCTGGATCTCCCGGACCCGCCCATCCATTCTTCCACGAGACATGGTTGCTGGAGTCGGGGCCGCCGGGACGCCCGGATAGTCCGGGTACACTGAATTGCTGGAATACGCCACAGACTGCGCGCCCGGATAGTCCGGGTACGCAGGCGTAACGGGAACCGCTTCGACCATCACCGGCTGTGTGTCCGGCACATTGATCGCAATGGCATGCCCGCTGTACACGCCAGGCGGGCACGTCACCTGCATGGGCCCTGTGGGCGTGTTCACCTGGAAAGGATCGCCAGGGCTAACCCCTGCAGGAACCGTGACCTGCATCTGCGACATGGCTGCGGCACGGAGTAAGGAGAGTATGGGCATCTTTTTCTTTTTTTCCCGGCTCGCAGCCGTTAGGCCCGCCAATGCACCGCCGTTCGATCCGTGCCGCGCCGCCCTTGCCGTTTAGCCCGCCGTCCCTCCTGCCGTCCGTTACCGCCGTGCCGCCGTACCGACCGCCGCTCCTACAGTGCCGCGCCGCCTTCCACACTACCACACACACACACACACACACCTCACCTCCTGCTCGACCGAGTTTGCGTTGAGAAGCGACCCGAGCCGCCGGGTGCCCCGCAGCGGCCTCGCTGGGCCAGGAGACCGGCCCGTGAGTGCTCCGCAGCAGCCTTGCTGGGCCAGAAGATCGGCGCCGCGAGGTGGGGTGCTAGTATGAGCCCAGCCCAGGGCGTAGTGTTCTTGCTCCAAGTGCTTGCGCTTCGGCGGTTAGTTTGACTGAGCAGCCAACTGGAGCAGCCGAGGTAGGACGCCGCCCGGCATTCCGCGGCTGGTGAGAGGCCACTAGAGCTGTGGACGGACGGAAAACGACCCCCCTTTTTGTGCCTGCCCTGGGTATGGCCTCTCTGGGGGTGAGCTGGGTCGGCCTCCTCCGGGTTATCAACTCGCACGGCGGGTCCGCGTCCGGGCGAGCATCCGAGCATCCGAGGCCCGCGGTTGTCCTTTCGCAGGGCGCGACCGACATGGAGATCTGCTGCCCACAGATCAGTGCTGTTGGCGACTATTGCTCGCTCTCTGTGCACTCGCAACGCCAGAGGCCGTGCTTGGAGAATGGGTCGCAATGCTGCTGCGCCTGTGGATTGAGCCGCGGCGCAAGCTCCATCGGTGAGCTGCGGCGGCGCGCCGGCCGCTCCATGCATAGCTCTCGGGCGAGCTGCCGCAAACGCGTTTTCCGTCCGCCCGTTTCATCGAGTTTGCCCGAGTGGTAAAATGCAATCGAAGTTGCCCGAGTGGTAAAGTGCAACTTTGGCATTTGGTAAAAGTTGCCCGAGTGGTGTGTGGGGAAAAACCAAAGCGGAAGGTTGGCCCCAAGAGCTAAAGGTCAACATCCCCTCCGGCTACGACAATGTGAACCTGATCTGCTCCTCACGGGGTTGACCCGTCTCCTCCAGATCGAGACGGACTTCATGGACGGCCGAGCAATATTTCTTCATTAATATTATTAATTGATGCTTGTTGCACGGCTGAGCCCCCCCCCCCCCCCCTCCCCGCGCCCATTCCCTGCCCTCTCCCGCCACACACTCCGTCAGAGCCCCCTCCCCTCTTGCACAACAGGAATTTTGACAATTAACCAGATGGCGAGAGAGCATTGGACGGACGGAAAAACACCCCCCATTCTATGCCTGACCCTGGGCATGCCTCTCTGGGGGTGGGCTGGGTCGGCCACCTCCGGGGCTGCAACTCGCACGGTGGGACCGCTTCCGGGCGAGCATCCGAGGCCTGCGGTTGTCCCTTCGCTGGGCGCGACCGCCATGGAGATCCGCTGCACACAGAACAGTGTTTTTGGCGACTATTGCTCGCTCTCTGTGCAATCGCAACGCCAGAGGCCGTGCTTGGAGAATGGGTCGCGATGCTGCTGCGCCAGTGGATTGAGCCGCTCCGCACACTCCATCGGTGAGCTGCGGTGGCGCGCCGGCCGCTTCATGCATAGCTCTCGGGCGAGCTGCCGCAAAAGCGTTTTCCGTCCGCCCGTTTCATCGAGTTTGCCCGAATGGTAAAGTGCAACTTTGGCATTTGGTAAAAGTTGCCCGAGTGGTCAGTGGGGAAAAAACCAAAGCGGAAAGGTGGCCCCAAGAGCTAACGGTCAACATCCCCTCCGGCTACGACAATGTGAACCTGATCTGGTCCTCACGGGGTTGACCCGTCTCCTCCAGATCGAGACGGACTTCATGAACGGCCGAGCATTATTTCTTCATTACTATTATTAATTGATGCTTTTTGCACGGCTGAGCCCCCCCCCCCCACCCCCCTCCCCTGCGCCCATTCCCTGCCCTCTCCCGCCACACATTCCGTCAGAGCCCCCTCCCCTATACGCGGTGCGCTGTGCGTTGGTTGAGAGGGCCGCGACCTCGGCTGGACTTGCATATGGCGTCATCTTCCTGACGCTCGAGGCACATGTGCTGCAGGTAGTGGCCGAGTAGTGGTTGACAGCGTGCTTGCAATGGCAACACAGCCACCACTCCGCCCGCAGCTGCGGCATCGTGCGCCATTCGGCAGCCGACGGCGTGCCTGACCGCGCTGCGCTCGCAGCTGCAAAGACACCGCCGCAAATGCCGCCGGACCCGCATCCGGAACAGCCAGGATTCCAGCTGCCGTCGATGCTCCATCCCCCGCAACAAGCGTGCGATGCTGCAGCACTGCACCAAGAGGCGCAGCAACCTCGACCCGGGTGTTGCTCGAATCCGTAACGCCCACCGGGCGAATACGATTGCCTGGTCCTATCGCCAAAAGGCCCTGCTCCTCCTCTTGTCTGGCAGCAAACGCAAGCTGCGGCACAAGCCGCGTTGGCGCAGAGGAGGCGGCAAGCCTCAACACGCCTACCCGTGGCATGCCGCCGGATCGGGCCAAGACTAAGGCTGCAGGAGTCGGCCTCGGCTGCTGTGCGAGGGCCCTCCCGTTGAGGTGTCCATCTTATGTGCAGTGGGGCTACAACTGTAGCGCGTCGGCAGGATCCCCCAAACCGTCGTAACCCCCCAAATTGAAGTCGACCGCCCAAAGCTGTCCCCCCCCCCACACACACACTTTAAACCACCATAAACATCAGTCTGCAGGGGCTCCAGGCCCCAAATGACGTGTGAGTGTTAGAGTTGTTTGGTATTGCTACAAATCTCTCTCTAGACGACGCCCTCACCGGCGCTACTGCGTCGTCATTGGCCTTGTTCACGGCCTTGTCTGCTGCCCCCTTCTCCCGCAAATCAAGCTGCGCCTGCACCGCCGCCATCTCGCTTTCGTCGCCTGTAAGGCGACCTTCGCCACCTTCGCCTTCCTCTCCCGCTCTCCGGTCTCCCGCTCTGCCGCCGCCTCAGGCCGGGTCCTCGCGGCGGTCCCTCCGCCGCCAGGGTTGTCGCCGGCGTCGGCAGCCACGATCATGGGGTGATGCCCTCGCCTGCCATATCGATTCTACGTAGGCTGTCGCTGGAATTCCTATGTAGGGCCTAGGCCCTCCCGGGGGGAAGATGTCAGCGTGCTGGCGCCCCTGAGGGCTGAGCAAAAAACAAAAACTCGCCGCCCGGGCCGCTCGGGGCGCGCGGCTCCGTCGAGGACCGGGCGCGCCCCTTGCCCGGCGCGGCGTAGGTCCCACTCTGACGTAAAGAGGGGAGGCACGGACGATAGCCCGATCCATCAACTACATTCATCTTCTGGTGCTTAGCCCCGTGCAGCGGCGGTCCGGCAGGCTGCCCCCAAGGCCCCCTGGGCCGCTGCGGGTTTTGGAGTTATGCTTAGGCACAGCTTCGGCGATGGCAGCCCCTCCCTGGGGTGTTGCATAGGCGGGGAGTCTCGCCTTGCGTTTGTTTCCTAACATCGAAGGCAGAGCTAAAAAAAAACAAAAGTCCCACGCGACGCCGATCCTGCCCCGGTGCGCTGAAGCCGCGAGAGCAAGGCTCGGCGGATGCCTCTCGTCAAGCGGTGGCACGTTCCGCGCGGGCTGAGGCCGACGCTGACCGGCCGCAAGGTGCGTACGACGCTGATGAGCCGCGTCGAGCGCCAGCAGCGCGGCAACGTCGCGCCTCGGCCGCTCTGGTTTGACGCGGCGCTCGCGCACCCGCCTCCGCCAAAGTTCCAGCTGGACCGGCCTCCCGACCTGGCCTTCCCGGAGGACGAGCTGCGTCGCGAGTGGCTGCGCCGCAATCCGGCGGCGACGATGGTGCCCAAGGCCCTCTTCCTCGAGGAGGCATCCGTCCCGGACGAGCTGCGCCGCCACCCGGCCGACGCGTTTGTCGAGCGGCAGATGGAGCTGATCGAGGAGGGGACGGCGCCCGAGGAGGCGTACCGGATCGTGGCGGCGGAGCAGGAGCGCGAGGGCGACGTGCGCGCCCTCGAGGAGCGCACCGCCCGCGGAGTCGCCGCCGCCCTCGGCGCCGCTCTAGAAGCGGAACCTCGAAAACACCGGTCGCTGCATTCAAACCCCCGAACACTCGAGAGGACCGTCTCCGCGCGATCCGCTGAAGACACGGCACGAGGCCGAGGGTTCGCGCCCTGACTCTGGCGCGTGTTTGTGACGCAGGGGCCGAGCCGGCAGACGGCGGTGACGAGTGTGAGATGCGAGGGCAGACGCTGCTGCTGCGCCGGCGAGATCTAGCCGAGATGCGGGCGAGATGCGGGCGAGATGCGGGCGAGATCTATCGGGATGCGGGCGAGGTGCGGGCGAGTGGATGGCTGCAACCATCACACGCAGCTCTCTCTCTCTCTCTCTCTCTCTCTCTCTCTCTCTCTCTCTCCTCGCCCTTCTCCCTCTCGCCTCTCTCTCCTCTCTCCACATTTCCTACCCATGCCTCGCCTCGCACACCCCCCCCCCCCCCCTGCCCGCGTTTGCCCGGAGGTTTTCGGAGGAGGCCAGGGATATGGGCCTACCTT